GGTTACAAATATGTCATTTTTGAGTTTAGTGATTGATTTGGTTGAGAATTTAGAGGAAAGTCTATATTTCCTGATATGTGTCGTTGAGATTTTCATACGTCTTACTTTCTAGATATCGACGAGTGTTACGAAAATCCAAGAATCTGTCTAAACGGAAGATGTGAAAATACCCAAGGGTCTTACGCATGTGCTTGTCTACCAGGATTTGTAGAATCTAGCGATAGAACTTTCTGCAGTGATATGGACGAGTGTGCCTCAACAGGTAACACATAATACACCTAGAGACTGAAATCAACTATTGAGAAATATTGCTCAAAAATTGTTTTCTAGGTATGTGCGACCATGGAAAGTGCATCAACATCGAAGGTTCTTTCAGGTGCGTTTGCGATTCTGGTTACAGACTAGGATCAGATGGCAGACATTGTGTTGACATAGATGAATGTATTCATAATCCTTGTCAATTTGGAACATGTTATAACACACCTGGAAGCTTCAAGTGCGAATGTCATCCTGGATTCAGTTTGGGACCAGACGGAAGGTAATCGAAACTTTAACGTTAGCGAAAAGCTTTAGAATTTCTTGGTCAGTGTCCCAACTATCCCAATATCTGTTTTTGTTTGCTTGTAACCATGGAGACAAAAATGGAAATTTCCAATTTAAAAACTATAAAGGTCAACGGCGGTGACTTCCCTAAAACCCGCTCCTTGGCTAAATAGATTGTGTGAGCTGTTATTAGTTTTGCGCAAACATAGACGCAATGCCTCAAAAGTCCTATTTCTTACTCCAAATGGGGCTTCTAGACAATTTTTTTATGCTTTTAATATTATCCCACTGTATCTATCGATTTAAGTTTCAACAACTGAGACGAAATTGAAAATTTTCAACTTCGAAAATAAATAAATATAGCAGATAACATTTTCAAAAGGTTTTAAAAGCTCTTCAACGGCTGGCAAAATTAAATTCTCTCCGATAGTATGCGGTTTTCCGGATTTCGCTATAAGTAACGAGATATTGTAAGACGCCCGCAAACCCTCATCATTTCTTTGTGACGTCGAAGCGAACAGTCTGTTCAGTGTAGGTCTCTTCTGAAATTTATCTTTGAGTGTTTGAAAGTATTTCAAATCTTTCTCTGTTTTGTCAGGGTGGCATCTTCTCAGATGATCTTGCAGTTTAGATGGTTTCATAGCGTTATTGCCCAAAACTTTGTTGCATAAAAGGCACATAGGCGATTGTTTGTCTGGCAATGATGGAATGAAGCCAAATTTCAAATAATCAACACTGTACTGTCTACATTTCTTTTTAGATTCGGACATGGCATCAGTCATCTGTGGGCAAAATTAAATTATTTAAATAAGACAGAAAATCCAGCAGCTTTATATTAAAAATAATTTTTGATGATTCCATAATTCGAACATCTTGCAACAATTAGCTCGAATTACGGAGATTGCACTGTAATTATATTACCGATTGCGAAAACTTTTAAAAAGAAACTATTGAGGGGTACTCGTGTAATTTTGCATGATTGAATATTTAACTACTAATAACTAAAGTCATGATTGGCGTAATTTATCTATCTTTGCTAACTACGAGTACAAAACTAAAATTTAATAAAAAATAATGTACTCACTTTTCTCCAGCACTCTCAAACAAAATAACACTGACTCACTATAATTTGTGTGATATACTATCTGTTTATATTTTTTAAAATATTGTCTTAGCACTTTCCTTTTCAAGATTCAGGAATCGAATAAACGTATTTGTCCCACATTCGTATTTATAGAGTGACGAATTGAACAAGTCAGTGCAAGGTAGCGAAGCTCTGAGACTGCGACTCTCAGGTTTTTACAAGTTCAAAATGTATTGCGACTACAAAGCGAATACCAACATCCTACAACTTACACAATATATATATAAACATATATAATACATTTTTTACTTCATAGGTACTTTTATAAATAATGTATATGTTTTGATATTATAAGATAGTATGATGTAAGTAAATAGGTACTATCAGTGTATCTGTTGAGATCCACTATCGTGGACCCCATATTCATTTCATGGACCCCCAAATTTTTTTTCGCTGACGTAGACCCCTTGCAGGTTATCATAGACCCCTAGGGGTCGATATAGACCACTTTGGGAATCAATGATCTATTGGAACATTTTGAGCTTCGGACCTTTTTTCCTCAGATCACACTAACACCCTTTTTGTATCAGGTCATGTCTGGATACACGAAGAGACCTCTGCTACCAAGAATACCGAGACGGTATGTGCTTCAACCCTTCAACAACTGCTGTGACCAAGTCAAGCTGCTGCTGTTGTACCATAATATCCGGCAAACCAATGGGTTGGGGTACGACTTGCCAACCCTGCCCCATGCCGGGTACCACCGACTTCGATCTACTTTGCCCGCATGGTCCTGGTTCCACCTTTGACGGGAACGACATCAACGAATGTGCTTTGAATCCGGGGATCTGTCAAAATGGTGCTTGTGAGAATATGATTGGGACATACAGGTAGGAAGATAATGCCTGAGGCAGCGTCACGTGTTATTAAGTCATTATAACCTGAGCAATAACTATTTTTTATGTATATACTAGTACGGTGCAGTAGTACTGCTTTCGGCCATACTATCGAAAATTATCAACATTTTTATTCTTAGATTTTGCGAATGTTACTTCAATATTTGTTCGAATCATACATGACTATATTTTGGTATTCAGGATCAATTCAACAATATTTATACAACATAATTTTTTGAAAAAAGTTTTTTTGTTAAACAACGTTCGACTAGCTGCGACACTATTTTTGTGTTGTACCTGACTGCGTGAAAATATGTGTAAATAGGCATCCTTTCACATTGCAAAAGGATAATTCTATAATTTCAATAATACGCGAAAAAATCTTAAAAACACGCTTTTATTAGCTTGATTAGCTTGTCCTCCTTGTAATAACGGTCCGCCAGCGATGTTATCTCTCTTGAAACTGGATAGTTTCCGCTACCCAGGTTCTCTTCTAGATCCTAGACATTGAGACATACAGGTAAGAAGATAACGCCTGAGGAATTTATGACATTTTGAAGGTGGTTTGATGGTATTTGTTTCAAAGGATCGAGTTATCTTTAAGAAGTATGACACCTTAAATTATACAAATATTTGATGGTTTTTCGTTGCATATGTAACGTATTACGGTAGCACGCGTTATCTTGTTTGGAATAGTGCCTAAATATGTACAAGATCTGTACGTGCTTTCTAAAAAAAATGATGGTGATATAGTACACGTTTTGGCAATTACATTCATCATTATGATTTCGTTTTGAAACATCAAATATTGATTTTATTTTATCCTTATTATTGATCGCTTCCGTAGGTGTATTTGCAATCCTGGTTTTGAAGTAGATGAAACTGGCAAAATCTGTAGCGATATCAACGAATGTGAAGTAGAAGAGTTGGTAAGTATAGAAGCAAACGTATTTTCTTCTTGAAAGTTAAACATAAAACATACCATCGAGCACAAAATTGGAAAGAATGAACATTTTAACAGTGACCCTATCTTCAAGGTCAAGTTTATGTTGTCTAAAGACCATCGAAATTGAGCAAATAGTGACGTTTGATATCACCACAATGTCAACTTTGAATGTCATTTGAAGGTCAAATCGTAGGAATCAAGTGAGACAGACAACAATAATTTGACTTGAAGAGGCTTATCGTGGATCTTTAAAGGTGGTTATATTTTTTATCTACTCCTGTACATTCCATAATGAACTGTTAGAGCAATGTGACAGGTCTGCAGCGGCGGTCAATGCCGTAACACCCCGGGAAGTTTCCAGTGCATCTGTCCTACGGGGACCAGACTGAATCAGAGGAACAGCGTGTGTGAAGACATCGACGAATGCAGAGAACTGGGACCTGAAGCCTGTTTTAATGGAGAGTGCGTCAACACACATGGATCCTATAAATGCGAATGCGATCCTGGATCAGTCTTGGATAACACTGGAAGGATATGCATTGGTAAGAATGGTTTTGGACCTTTGAACTTTGTTTTCAAGATCGTATCGTTTCGATACGATTTTTAAAACTAACCCTTTCACCACTGAATATTTTTTTGATAAATTTTCGTTTCAAATATATATTAAAAAAAATAGTGACTATAATGAAAGATATTTGCAATAAATTCCTTGAAAATATTCTGCTTATCCTGAAAATGTCCTGGGACGATATGTACCACTAGTAGATATGATTAGGACAGTGTGTCCCTATAGTGGTGAAAATAACAGGCATGTTGTAATGAAATAACATTGATTATTTTATTTTTATGAATGATATAACAAGAAACAGTTTTTACATAGTGGAATGTTGCAAGCAATACAAACTGTTTTCGTTCTTGTCTCTTTGTTATTTCTGGACATTGCTCACATCTTCTTCGGGAAGGACCAGATGGTAAGTGATCACCAACATTGACCCATTGTCTTTTGTCCCTTTGATCTAGGGCCACATTTTCCGCTGAGACGGCGTTTAATACCTGCATTTGCCCTACCTGCTTCAACCATTTGCTCGGCTAACGGTACTAAAAATGTAATAAGTGGAATTTTTTTATGTGTTATCTCTTGATATATGATCCAAGGGTTTACAACTGCAGTCATAAGCAATTTGTAAAATACTTTTCGCCGCCACTTTGCAGACTTGCGGTCCAAGTCGTAGGTGGAGACTTTATGATCCGCTAAATCTACCCCTCCCATAAATTTGTTATAAAACTCTACAATGCTGGGGCACTCAATTTCTGTTTTCTCTCCACTGATGAGTGTTCTTTTCACAGAGCTCATCTCGTTCGACTGACAATTAGACATAGCAAAAACTTCTTTTGTGTCCTTCCATTTAGTTGCGATAATACCTTTATTACAATACTGAAATTCACAGTTTCGTCTTTGCATCCTTGCCACAGTGAATTTGGGAGTGTTCTTTCGATTTGTCATATACGTGCCAACACATGCGAATGGTAAATTTGCCATCAAATGAACACTTGTGAAAAATCTATCTATACAGATGCATACATCTTGTGATTGAATGGTCCCTGTTAGCTTATTTACTACCCTTTCCCCAATGGTGCCATCTACCTTCTCGACAGCTTTACCCGAATGTATATTGAAGTCGTAAACATATCCGGTTTTGGAATCGCATCTTTGCCACAGCTTGATTCCCCTTTTTATCAGTTTCATGGGAAGATACTGTTTTAGACTAGATCGTCCTTTGAATTTAGTCATCGTTTCATCAATTGATTGATGCGAACATTCAGTTCTGGCTTTCTGGAACCTCTTCTTCAAACATTCAACTAATTCATCCAAGTAATAAGTTTTGGATGATGATTCAGGCTTGTTCGGTTTAGTATCAAGCTTACTGGTTCGCTCATATCACACGCGATTTTGGGACGTATTTGTCTTATAGCAGTTTATTCTTTGTTCTGGGATATACATGTCCCGACAGTGGTGAAACCGTTAACATGGGTCTTGATAGTATACAGGCTGTTTCAAATTTGACTCGCACCAATGGGCTCTCGGAAACTGTCAGAGATACGAAGTGGCTTAAATAGGGCTAAAGTCACGTAAGTAGGTAATCAACAATCAAATCCGGAGAGAGACGGAAAAAATCGAATTTTCCTAAAGCCGTTTTAATTTTTCCTGATTTTATTTGTAGATTAATTTCAAAATAAATTGCACATTGATATTGGCAGTTTTTCCACTCCACAAGAAGGCATAATTAGAATTTTAATCTGACGTTTGGTCTCTTGTCCTCCAGCATCAATTTTATTTTTTTCATATGGACATCATATTGATAGAGTTTTCAATTGTGATTCCAAAAATGTATAGTATGTCATACAATACATTGCCAAATCTTAATTATTTTAAAAAACGAAATTTCCTAGGAAGACCTTGAAATTATCATTATGACTGTTTTGCATACTAGATTAATCCCAAAATCACTTTTTATTATTTCCTAACATTATCTAAGAACGGATTTCAAAATAAATTGCAAATTGTCATTGTTACTTATTCTCTTCTACAATATGGCGTAGTCAAAGCTTCAATTCGACATTTCTTCTTTCGAATTCCATCACCAACTTTGTTTTTTCATACTGGAACTTTGTACGTTTGAATGGACCTTTCAGTCCTAAATTAAGTTATGTAATTCTTAAGTTGGCCATGCATTTGCTGTTGTCTGAAAATTAAAAGTAAATAAAAAGGTATGGAACCTGAACACAAAATGAAAGTGTTTGATGGTAATAATAATAATCAAAAGTAAGCAACGATAAATGCTGATGCTCAAAAGGTTGATTCTTATTTTGTAGGCAAAGCCTGACTCTTATGTGTACATTGTTCATGCTCGATTTATTTTGCTTCGTCTGAGCCTTCCAAACTGTGCTACTATGTTCAACTTGAGGTCTGGTCTGGTATACGAAACCAATGAAATCTGATAATTTCAAGCCTAGGAAATTATTTTTTTCACCGACAATTTAAAACGTATTATACATCTTTGGAATCGGAATTAAAAACCCTATTCATCTGTGCAAAAAAATCGAATATGGTGTCTATATGAAAAAATAAAGTTGATGCTAGATGACAAGAGACGAAACGTCATATTGAAATTCTAATTATGCCATCATGTAGATGAGAAAAAGTGGCAGTGTTACTGTGAAATTTATTTAGATATAAAATAAAGAAAATAAAGTCAGGAAAAAATTAAAACGATTTTGGAAAATTTCGTTTTTAAAACTTTGTCATTTTCTAAGCTGAATTTTGTTGATTATCTAAATACGCAACTTTGCCTCAAGTTAGCGGCTTCGTATCTCTCCCAGTTTCCGAGATCCCTATTGTAAGGATCGAATTCCAAAGACCCTGTATAAGTGAGAGACCTGGGGCTCGATTTTAAAAGAGTTTCGACCGTTGACGTGGCTTTTGATGGCGCCTTGTGACGGTATACTTGATTCGCTATGATTATTTTCACCCAACCATAATAGTTTTCAGATCGATTTGATTATATCGATTTGAAGATCGATATAATCAAATGTTAAAATAGCACAGCAAATCTAGTATATCGTCACAAGGCGCCATCGAAATTGATCTCAACGGTAGAAACTGATTTAGAATCCGGCACCTGGTCTCACTTATTTAGATATGGAGACTCGCTGAGAGATAATCAGTTATTTCCATCAAGAAATTTCTGACTATCGAGACTGACATATCCACTGTAAATTAGCATTCTGGACTATCAGAAATTCATTGTTCACTTGTTGAGATGCCACCTGCATGTGATAGCATTGTGCCAACTTTTGCATGGTCTATGTCTATAGGTGAATGTATTTTTTTTTTCAGATAACCGAAAAGGTTCATGTTGGACGACGCTAAATAGAGGTCGCTGCGAGAATAATCTTCCACTTCTGAGCCTCCGCTCAGAATGTTGCTGTTCTGTAGGAGTAGCGTGGGGTTCCCCTTGCGAAAAGTGCAACAGAAACGAATGCGATTGCCCTAAAGGATACGCCAAAACAAACGGAAAGAACTGTGCGGACATCAATGAATGCGATTTGAATCCTGACATTTGTAGAGGCGGAGGAACTTGCGTCAATACTGACGGAAGCTATACGTGCAGTTGTCCACCAGGATTGACCTTGGATGAAACAAGTAAGTGATTTCAATAGGCTATCTGACTCATATCTAATTTTATAGAAGAACTGAGTATTTCTTACAGTACTTGCTTTAAGAAAACGAAAAATATCGAATTCAATTTTTAAAAGCGCAGGACGGATGTATACTAAAGTATAATTATAATATTATTTATTATATAAATTATATTATAATATTATATTAATATTTATTATATAAATTATATTATAATATTATAATTATATATAATTATAAGTCCAATATTAAAAAGCATAATTTTTCACGGCGAAAACACTATCGGCCAAGGTGTGACGTCATACAAATTGTAAACAAAGAACCGTCATCCGTACATATGTCACTCGTGGACTAACGACTTTACATATTTCTAAAAAACTCTTAATCAACGTAAAAAGTTATCGCTTTTTTTGTTTTGTTGAAAAAACAATCTTTGGCGCTCCATTCGACAGAAAGCACAAAATTACCGAAAGATGACTTTTTAATTATTGAATTTTGTTGCCTTCAGCGCAGATTTCTGGTCTACTGAGTTGAGGAACATAAGACTTCTATCTAAGTACAGAGTAGCTGATTTAATGATCGACATAAAAAGAAATCTTCCTTTTCAGAGGTCATTCAAAACTGAGATCATACGTCATAACCTCCGAATAAATTTATCTAATACTTATTGCATTTCTTCTTACACATCTGAAAGGGAATCATACGGTGACGACGCCGTTGGTTACGCCCAACTCAAACGAAACAATAAAATTTGCAGAGTAAAATGAAAAAATATGTCCCGAACATAAGGTATGCTCTAAGCAATACACAGTGTTGGGTATAAGCATTTATTTTCTTAGGCATTCTAGTCCACAGATGTCCTGCGTCCTTTATCGATGTGTTTTTACATTCTCGGATGATACGATAACGATAGTTGCTAGAATTTTCATATAAATTAGTAGAAGTCATGTTTATATGTTTGAAAGTTACGCTGCTGTCAGCTGTTTACAAATGGTATGACGTCAGAGCGCATTAATATGGGCCAACATGGCGGACAGCGTTTTCGCCAGTCTAAGAAAAATGTATTTCTGAATTAAAGTGTGACAGTCTTTTAGGCCCGAAAAAAATATAGTATTAGTCTTTTAGGTCTAATAGAAGAAATACACCTATAAACTATTTAAGACCTATTTAAAAAAGTATTAAGTAACCTATTGAATGGCCAGGGTTGTGTGAAACTCTCTTGAACCTCATAAGTCCCTAGTCAGTACTTGAAACAATGGGTTTCTTCAGGAAATCAAAATGTACCAATTTCACTATTATTTTCAGGGTCAAAATGTCTAGATGTGCGTCAAGAGCAATGTTACACCCGCTACAAACATGGACAATGTGTAAATGCTATCGAAGGTCTATTTCACCGCAGCTTGTGTTGCTGTTCTCAAATTGGAAAGGGCTGGGGAGATCGTTGTGATCCTTGTCCAAGGCCTGGAACTCAGGTATAGTGAGCTTGTGATTCGTCTACAGCAGTCGCCGCTAATAATATATGGATTATTTCAAGAAAGTATACCTGTATGAGCCTGGTAATCATGGGCGCCCATATATAGGGTGTCCCGAAAAAAGTGTGCAATATTCTACCAGCGGTTTTTAGAGCTTAAAATAGGAAGAAAAGTTTATATAAACATAGGTCGACATACATCCCCTAAGGGCGCTACGGTCTTTAAAACGGGCTCCCCTGAAGATGGTTTTTCCTTAATATTTCCGAAACGTGTTGAGATAAAAACATAAAATTTGGTATTCTAGCCTAGTTTTTTATGCTGGATTTAAAAATATTGACAGTTTTAGACAGTTTTGTTTGGAAGCGAATGTAACAGGGACGGACTCAGGTTATTTGAGCCCCAAAATTTTTGTGTGATTCTATTTTGGAAATTCAATTTTAGAATTTGAAAATTTATTGTTTTCTACATCAAAAAGGTACTCTTATTGAATATCGATAAATTGTGCCATTTTTGAATAAAATCAAACTAAAGAATTTGTCGCATGATAGGAAATGTACTGCGAATTTAAATGAATTGTTGATTATACATAGTTAGCCATGACTGCAAACAAAAATTGTTTTGATTTGTTATGACTTATTTAGACGTTAATCTGACATTGTTAGCAGTGTAACATTACTAGATTAAAATCAAAATTTTTATTAAATCGATTTAAAATGCCAAGATTTAAAGACAGAGAACTAACTGTCTGACATGCATTTTGTGTACGGGTTTTGCAAAGACAGTTCATTGGCAGCCGTAAGAGAATATCAAAGAAGATTTCCCAATCGCATAGTACCTGGACGTCGAATGTTTACTGATATTCACCGGAATTTGTCAAACCATGGAAGTTTTCAGCGCATGCAGGGCTCAGGAAGGCCACTGGGAAATCATCGTATGGATATTGCTTTAAATATGTTTGAAAATAATCCGCAAATAAGCATACGAAATGTTTAGCAGCATTTAACGGAGGCAGATTTTTTTGTAAGAGTCGAGTTTTGCCAGTGGATATTAGCAAATGAATACACTATTCCTAGAATATTATGGTCGGATGAGTCAATATTTACTAGGAATGGTGCTTTTAATTTCCATAACATGCATCACTGGTCAGATGAAAATCCAAAAGTTGTTCGCCGTACAAATTTCCAACATAGATTTTCATTGAACTTATGGACAGGAGTGATTGGGGATCAAGTAATTGGGCCTATTGTACTTCCCAATCGTCTTAATTCAGAGGTGTATCTGAACTTTCTTCAGAATGAGCTCATGGATATAATACCATTGGATGTGCGCCAGCAGTTTCAAGAAAATATGTTTTTTCAACATGATGGCACCCCTGCACATTTTGGATGCAATGTTCGAAATTGGTTGAATGTCAATTTTCCATACAGGTGGTTAGGCCGAGGAGGTCCCATAGCGTGGCCCCCACGTTCACCTGACCTAAATCCATTGGGTTTCTATTTTTGGGGGTCATTAAAAGACCTAGTTTACTCGACTGATGTAAATACTCAACAAGATTTACTTCAAAGAATCCATCAGGATGCAAATGAAATAAGAAGAAAAAGGTTTTCCACTTTTCGGGCTACGCAATCATTAGTTCGTCGAGCTAGACTCTGTATCCAACAAAATGGGAATTTTCTTGAACACTTATTGTAAAGCTAGTTTTAAGTATATCCAACTGCATGTCTTCTTTTTTAAACAAATTTCAATTTCGTTCGTAGAAAAAAATTATTTCTTTTGTTTTTGCCTAATTGTTAGCTATGTTGCAATAGAAATATGTATTTATGTAATATTTACCAATTATTTTTTTCGTTGCCATGGCTAATTATTCAACAATTCATTTAAATTCGCAGTACACTTCCTATCATGTGACAAATTCTATAGTTTGATTTTATTCAAAAATGGCACAATTTATCGATATTCAATAAGAGTACCTTTTTTATGTAGGAAACCCTAAGTTTTCAAATTCTAAAATTGGATTTTAAAAATAGAATCACAGAAAAATTTTGGGGCTCAAACAACCTGAGTCCGTCCCTGTTACATACGCTTCCCAACAAAACAGTCTAAAATTGTTAATATTTTTAAATCCAGCATAAAAAACTAGGCTAGAATACCAAATTTTATGTCTTTATCTCAACACGTTTCGGAAATATTAAGGAAAAACCATCTTCAGGAGAGCCCCTTTAAAAGACCGTAGCGCCCTTAGGGGACGTTTGTCGACCTATGTTTATATAAACTTTTCTTCCTATTTTAAGCTCTAGAAACCGCTGGTAGAATATTGCACACTTTTTTCGGGTCACCCTGTATATCTCAGGCTTAGAAACGGAGGTAAAGTCATCGAGCATACAGTTTTTTGTCGACGACTCAAAATATCAAATAAGTAGCTGCTATATTTAATGACTTTCAGGCTTTCTCCGAGCTTTGTCCCAAAGGTATTGGCTTTCTGGATAGGAAGGACATCAACGAGTGTACGGACTTTCCTGGACTATGTCAGAATGGTAGATGTAAGAACACTGTTGGAGGATACAGCTGTAAATGTAACAAAGGTTACGACTATGATGATAATACTATCAAATGTGTGGGTAAGTCTAGTATGCCTGAACTTTAACTACATTTTCTATCAGAAATAGATACATTCTCTATTGTATACGTATAACTTATGATTTTCTGAAGAACTTTTAAGATTGCATAAAGTTTAAGATATCTAAAACCAATTTCCTAAATTTATTATATATTTAATATTCGCATAGATCAATCTATATTCTACTACAGAGGATTGTTGTGTAATCGGCAAGCAGTACAAGGTTTTTGTTTTTATTACAATTAGTAAGGTCATTTATGTGTATTAAGAATAAAAATGGACCCAGCACAGAACCCTGTGGGACGCCACATGAAACTGCCATTGTACTGGAAGTTGGAGGTTACAAGCTGCTGTGTGCTGCTAAAATAAGGTTAAAATAGCCTAAAACAACTACTACCGAACTTGTAGTGCGACAATTTTTGTAGAAGAATGTCATGTTGGACACAATCGAAAGCCTTAGTAAAATTAAAAAACTGTGTTAAGCAATGAGCACCACTTTCAAAAGCTGCATGTATTTCCTCGATGAAGCTGTCAATAGCTAGGGAATTAGGTTTATCTGATCTCAAACCGAACTGACAGTCAGTAAATAGGTTGTTGCTTTCAAAATATTCTATTAGCCGATCTTTCATAAGAATTTCAAGTACGACGAAAATACCTACTATCAAATGCGTGGGTAAGTCTAGGATCTATCTGTTGGAAATTTATCTACCTTTTCTATCGGAATTGAATATATTACATGATTTCCCGAAGAACTTTTAGGATTGCATAAAGTTTAAAGCTAAATATTTTGTTCCAGACATCGACGAATGTAACTTGACGACAGACAATGTGTGTGGAAAAGGAGTTTGTAAAAATATACCAGGCGATTTCATATGTGAATGCCATGAGGGGTACAGGACCATGGCCCCTATGCAGGTATGCATGGGTAAGTATATTTTTCTTGTTCTTTTCAAATGCTTCTCAATCGATTAACATAGTGATTATGGTTATTAAATTTTTTTCAACTTCTTCAGATATAGACGAGTGTGAGGAAATCCCAGGTCTCTGCAGAGGAGGCACATGCGTTAACACAGAGGGTTCCTACAAATGCGAATGCCCTGCTGGACACGAGCTATCTCAAGACAGACAGTACTGCAAAGACATTGATGAATGCTCAAGATCTAGCGGAATTTGCTCCAACGGTGCTTGCGAGAACATGATGGGCACATACCAATGTATCTGCAATGAGGGGTACCAACAGACTGGGCTCAAAATGCACTGCGAAGGTAGGTAGCAGATTATGATGTGTTTCAAAGTTAAATACAGGGTGTCATCAAAGGTGGGACAGAGCGTATACTAGTCAGGCAAAAATACGCATGTTTAATAACACATATACATATCAAAGAATTAAGATAACCGAGATATTAAGTTCCGAAAAGCTCCGAATAAGTCAAACCGCCTATGAAAACCGAAATTGCCACATTTTTACTGCAATAATACAGTTATCGATTTGATATTAGTTTATTATGTTCGTCGAAGTAAATATTTAGAATACATATCGTAGTACCCTCGTAGTAGTACCCAACCGCCACGATTTCAAAGCGCGCACGCAGAGAAGGAAAGCGGCACCGCGCCCCTTCCCCCTACCTTTCCCCCCTCTGGCCGCCCATAAACCTTCATTCTTTATTCTCGTGCCCGACCGTCAAGACGTTAATCGGCGCGCGTCGTTTACGTGCAGTACAGTGTCGAGGACCCGCTGAACATTTAGAATTAGAAAACAGGATAGAAGGTTGGCCGATAGATGTGCATTGTTGAACAAGATACCGACCGACGGACGCCTGAAGGTTCCTTTCATCGCGGACAAGCGGCATTTGAGGTGAACCAAGTCTCCACACCTTAAACATAACTATGTTATTACGTTATTTGCTTATTACCATCAAATTGATGGTAATTTTTGAACCAGGTACGTCATATTACCTGTTGCTAAAAACCTTAACTTGAATTGTTACAGTGGAAATGTACATTTAGTTGACACATACATTGCGTACAATTTGTGTAGTTGTGTACAACCTATCGTTTACTATTGCAGAGCGTTAGTAGTATGTTGTTGCAACTAGCTTTGAAGATTTACGATACGTATTCTAAAGATTTACTTCGACGAGGACGGGACATAATTACATGATCAAACGAACTTACCTGTAAGTGATGTTCGATCTTAATTATGTGAAGTCCTCGTCGAAGTAAATGGCTCCCTCCTTCCCTATGTATCACCCAATTGTTGCAACAACTTGGCTTAAATGAAGGTAAATAGGCGGCCAGAGGGGAGAAAGGTAGGGGGAAGGGGCGCGGTGCCGCTTTCCTTCTCTGCGTGCGCGCTTCGAAATCCTGGCGGTTGGGTACTACTACGAGGGTACTGCGATATGTATTCTAAATATTTACTGCGACGAGGACTTCACATAATTAAGTTCGAACATCACTTACAGGTAAGGTCGTTTGATCATGTAATTGTATGCGTCTTCAAGATTCTCTTGATGCTCCTTAAATGTATTTGCGTATCCAGAACCACGCAGTTGTCCTCGGTATTTCCACCAGACTGGCGAAGATTCGTTTATACCGTGCAAAAGCCATCTCGGTGGACACTGCAACCCCAAATGTGGCAAGTTTAAAGAGAAATAAGCAAAACCGTGTTATTGAATCGAACATCGATAACTGCAAGCAATAATTACAAACAAAACATGTAACAGGGCAGTACTTGATATAAATAGTGAGTAGTCTTATTCAGCTTCTTTTTTTTAATTTTCGCAGTTTTTTACCGCAAATTAACTTCCAACATTCAGGACATCTTGTATTTATTTATTTGAGTATACAATGATTTAGTTGTCTCATTCGTTTTGTATGAAGGAGGACCTCTGAGGAGCACGGGCGCCCTTCACAAGCTCTTGCCCATGAGCGTCCGCTGAAGTTTTGCTCAGGAGGGACCGATTAGATATCGCCAAGATCAGACTTTTGTATTTGTAAATTTTTAAATATCAGGGGGTTAACAAATTTTCGTAGGGAGCAAATCTTATGAATATGCAAATTTTAGGGGACAGCCCATTGCTCAGGAGGGACCTCGTAGCCTTCCCATTTTATCTCTTCAATATTTGCTTGTCATTCTGCAAGTTATCGTAGTAGCTCCGAGCACTATGCATAAAACCCTGCATATAGAAAAACTACAGTTTGTTATAAGTTCTCCTTTTAATTTTCAGATATCGACGAATGCGAGTACGAGCCTTGTGACGACATATGCGTGAACACCCCAGGCAGCTACTATTGCTCTTGTGGGTATGATTCCATTGTTCATATCAAGCTATCGTATCGATTTTCAATTTTTTCATTTCAGAAATGGATATTCCTTGAACCTCGACGGTAAAACATGCGCTGACATCGATGAGTGCAAAGTAAATCCAAGAATTTGCAATGGAGGAAAGTGCACCAACACTATCGGAAGCTATATCTGTCATTGCACCGAAGGACTGTTACCTGGACCCGGAGGAACATCTTGTGTAGGTAAGAACTTATTTCGTAGTAAAGCAATAAACTAAAATATTTCGTAATAGTTACTTACAATTAGCAGAGTATATAGATGCGTGTAGTAGATTCACTTTGGCTTTTGCCTAATGAGCGATAACGTTTTCGACAGTGATGTCATTTTTTCTAAACTGTATAATTTGCCGCCACCCAGGTTCGACTTTAGATACTTTGTGTTTCTATTATCTGCATTATTAAGTGTGTGTTACAAAAGTTCGTAAATGCTAATTATTAACTATGGATCATAACCCATTTTTTTCTAGATATCGACGAGTGTAAGCAAAACCCAAACATCTGTGGAGCTGGTGAATGTGTCAACACACTTGGATCGTTCCATTGTCGATGTGAAGAGGGATATTCTGTTAAGCCTGAAGGAGGTCCTCAATGTACTGACGAAGATGAGTGTTACTTGGGAACATACAATTGTGATGAAAATGCTGATTGTATCAACAATCCAGTAAGTTGTTTAATTGAACGTCAATTTTTAAAAAAGGTCACTAAGTACACCGAATGATGTCACGACAAGACAACAAAAACAATTTTCCTCCCGGCAGCACTGGCACGAAAGATCCCTCGCGATACCGCGAGCATCCTCTCTAATGATACCCTTCATACGTGCCTTGATATCTCTCATCTAAAGGACAACATCAAAAACCAAGCAGATCTACGTTATAGTCAAGTAGAATCGCATAGTAACGCTTTGTGGCGTGATTCGGTAGACTACATAGACGAGCAAGTTCGCAGCTACACAAGACCGCGGCTCGCACACACAAAATTAAATCGTCCACTTTAGTGGTCCAACCAAAATTATATTTTTTGTTCAGCGACCAAGCTCTAAATTAATTTTAGGATCAATTTAAAATTCCCGAATAATAGTAACCAATGCCAAGGCACCCCTCAAATTGACGAATAGAACCGCGATCATCCGTCGGTATCACTTGACATCTCTCCAATACGACAGTCTCTACAGAGTGATTCTGATATCCCGGAATAGCAAGATATACTAAGTGACATATAAATCCGAACACCCAGTTTAAATGGTTTTATTTTAATAAAATTTTGTATTATAAGTATAAGTTATAAGTACTTAATGAAGCATAATAAGTAAATGATAAAAATTTCAAAATGATTTCACTGCTTTAAAGCCGTTTGACCTTTAATAATGTGTGGATGCACCCTGATGTGCTACGCATTCTCCAACGCGCCTAGGCATGCTTCTGATCAGGTGGTCAATGTCCTCCTGTGGTATCTCATTCCAGGCAACCATCAACTCCTCTCGAAGTGCTTCTAGAGTCTCAGGAGGACGTTGCAAATTGAGCAATCTCCTACCCATCATATCCCACACGTGCTCAATTGGGGATAAGTCGGGAGATCTTGGTGGCCATGGTAACAATGTGACATCATTATGTTGAAAGAAGTCTATTGTGACTCTTGCAACATGTGGTCGGGCATTATCTTGTTGGAAAGTTGGATCTGCCTGGGTGTTAAGATAGGGTAAAAGATGGGGTTCTAGAACTTCGTGGATATAACGCTGCGCGTTCATGTTACCTCTGATGAAGATTAAAGGTGACCTGGAACCATAAGCTATAGCACCCCAAACCATAACCCCAATAGTGTGATGAACATGTCTTTCAACAAAAAACTCGGGATTCCTCCACGTCGCCTTCTAACCCTGGCACGACCATCGTGCATGCCTAAACAAAATCGAGACTCGTCACTAAAGACAATACTGTTCCCTTCCTGATCTCAGAGTGACCGTTGTCTGCACCACTCAAGGCGATTACGTCGGTGTTCTCGAGTTAAAGGGAGGACCCAGTGTGGCCGGTATGAAAACAATCCAAAACTCCTCATTCGTCGGTAAACACTTCGCATGCCATTAGGTCTTCCGTGTTCTGCAAACCATTCATTTGCAATGGACCTGGTAGTGGAGAAACGGTCCCTTAAGGCCAATAATCTTAGGCGGCGATTTTCACGGTCTGTTGTTCTACGGCGGCGTCCAGTGCCACTTGCTCTTTGCGTACGGCCTTCTCGAAGCCATGCCTGACAACACCTAACCACAGTGTCTACGCTTCTTTGCACTCTAATTGCAATTGCCCGAAAAGAAAGTCCAGCTTCCCGAAGTCCCACTATACGGCCGCTATCAAACTCACTAAGTTGACGAAATCGAACAGGTCTCCGTACTCTAGGCATCGTAACCGATCGTAAAGGATGTCAAGAACCAAAATCCGCCAACGTTGATTCTTTACTGCGGCTGAAATATTCATTTTTAGAGCGTTAGTGAATTAAAAAAAACCAGTAGAAAAACCGGAATGTCCAACTGATAAGGCTGAAAATTTTTTCACTTGTTATTTACAGTAAGATAAATACATTCACCAACTTTTATTAAAATAAAACCATATAAACTGGGTGTTCGGATTTATATGTCACTTAGTATATTTGGAGATACTCAAGGGATATGGTGAAAACTAATAGCGGCATTTTTACCTATCTATTTAGTGGCCATCTTGAATTTGATCTTAACTATGAAATTCAGAGTCAAATCCAGGTCAAGACGATTTTCTTTAAACGCGAGCCTGTACTTTGACCAACGCAACTACGAGAGCGAAAAATTTTACATTAAGATATGTTCTTTTATTTCTACCTTGAACGTCTCTGGTCAGGGTCAGCGTAAAAAAACCTCTCCGGAAAATATTTCTTGGATTTTTCTACAGGTCGAGCCGGAGCTTCAAATTTTCTCTGGCCATTCGCTACAAAACTTGAAACTGATCTTAATTATGACCTTACAATACAATTTCTCTAGATAGTACCATACACTTTTGAATCCGGAAATAGCTAGTTCAAAAAATTCTATACTCAGATATGACCTAGGGTGGGACACATTTTGACATTAAAATCTCTGGTCAAGGTCGCCGTCAAAAAACATTCCTTTGAAAAATTTTTGGGGATTTTCCTGAGGATAATAGCAAAAGACTTTTCCTGTCTGTTAACTGGTGTCCTTGAAATTGACCTGTATCGTGACCTTGGGTACTAATGTTTGCTTTATCATCAGATAGATCCCGGAAATATTTTCAAACAAGGATTTTGGTTACGATGACTTTGTTTAAGTTCAACGATTAAATATGAAATCCGCACCATCGATTTCCGGGGTCAAAAGTAGAGGCTCCAGTAAAGAAAATTGGCATGACTCTCTTTTGACTTCAAGCTTGGCGTTAAGTTAAGTTCAAGGTCACCAGTGGATAGACAAGTTAGAATCGTAAACCACCACCGTTGGGACCTTACTTTTGCGCTAACTACAGATAGATTCCTGTAATATTCTCAAATGACTATTCTACGATGACCTTCACCAGGACATTCAAGGTTGAAATAATGTTTACTCAGGGTCATATTCTGAACGTTTCACTTATTTTTGGAGTCAAATGAATACCATTCAAAAATACCGTCTTGATCTTGATTTGTCATTAAAAGTTATGATCAATGTCAAATTCAAGGTTATCACTGAATAGCTAGAGAAAATCATAAACCGCAACTATTCTATTTTACCGTACCCCTTGAATATTCCTAAATATATTGCCGTTTCGGTGTTTTTGGATCGCCCCGTATAAAATTGCCGAGGTATCCCAATGCATTCCGCTGTGGTATTCTACAGCTTGCTCTTCTATACCGCAGAAAGATTTTTCGCTCTCGGCATCGGAGGGCATACTGTAGGATACCGCGGAGGGACACGCCGGCATACCGCGGCATCCCTTGGCATGCTCACGGTATCATGAGAATTTTTTTTCATCTTTGTGGGCTGCCTTAGCGGGATATGATTTTCGATATTCTCTCCAACCGTCCTCTGAAATGAACTTGCCTCAACGCTTCCATTTCCGCAGGGTTCTTACCAATGCCGCTGTCAAGACGGTTTCACCGGCAACGGCCTGAACTGTCGCGACATCAACGAATGCTTGACGAACAACGGTGGGTGCGACCAAAACGCTCAATGTATCAACAGCGATGGATCCTTCAGGTGCGAATGCGATGCCGGCTTCAAAGGAGATGGTTATAGCTGCGAAGACGTTGACGAATGCTCGAATGACCCTTCCCTCTGCGAGAACGGGCAGTGCTTGAACTACCCGGGGTCTTTCAGATGCGAGTGCGAGATGGGGTTCATGCATCCGAACGAGGGAAACGACCAAGCTTGTGTAGGTTAGTATTGCAGGACGTCTCGACTTAGTATTTCTTTTACCCATCTGATCATCAGATAATCTGAAATACCATGGAGCACCTGGAGAAGTATGTTTACAAAAATGCAACAAATCTTGGCTTCTAAGTCTTACACAGTTTCCAGTTGATTGGCTTTGACTAATCCTCACACAAAAAGTGATTCATAGGTATAAAGTCACGAATGATTAAGCCATAAAGGTGATTGGAATGTCGTCTTTCTGATTGCCTGTGTTCTTCGAGTCAGTCATCATCAAGTTACTTTTACCCCATTTCTAAGATTTGTCCTTCTAAGGCACATTTTATAAGAAGCCCTGGCATTAACTTCAAGCTTAAACTCAATGAGACACGAATGGTTTTATTTATAGTGAGCCAAACCACCTTAGGACGTATCTAAAGGCTGTATCGTCAGTCGTTCCTACAATCATTGATTTTCGTGTTTTTTTCATGTGCTTCAAGAAAGTCTATTTTGAGGTTATGTTACAAATATCTATTTGCAACAAATTGTTCATAATTTCGGTTTTTATCATCAGTTATATCAGCCTGAAATTTCCTACAATTTATTAAAAAGTAAAACATAACTAATAGAGGGCTGAAGCTGGCGTGGAATAGTAGAAATCTAGAAATACCACAGCCTTTTTGCAGGAGAGAAAATGCTATGAAAATCAAGGAGGCTATAAAGCCGTTCTACAATTTACTCTAGGAACGACTGACGATGTGATTCTAAGCAACATCATATCATGAATTTGCTTGGATGACTGTATGTGACAGAAAATGCGTGGTGCAATTAACTGTATCACAATTTGCTTACCATTTCTTCTATTCTTCCACTTATCCCGCCAATTGGCGTAATTGCGAAAAGTTTCGAAATCACGATATTGTTTATTAGATGTTACATGACGTGCATAACAAAAAACCATGTCACTTGTTTCTGCCAGCCTCATCTGTTTAATAATCTTGGGTTTTAGGGAAATAATATTCGTAACTTAAAGAAGTGATTCCTTGCACTCTTCTAAGCAACAAAGTCGATTATAACTTATGTCTGAAAATCAATCGTTTTCGAGGAAAGTGAGTCGTAAATAATTAAATTTTCTCAAACATTTGGCAACGCTGCAACGCAACCGCGATACGAGCGCACGATGACCGCAACTGATTCATCGAATTGTTTACGTTTGTATATTTTTGTTGAAAATATGCCTTGAATTATTGAATACTTTTACCCAATTTTTTGTGGCTAATATTTTTTATTTAATAACGCTTTCAGAACAGTACATTTACTTAAATAAAATGACAGAACTGACTGGTACATAGCGATACACATCACGATTATCAGTCACTTATGATACACGAAAAGAGAAAAAAAACAATATCCGTAAATCACATAAAGTTAAAGTTATATGTATTAGTACTAATCACAACAACACGCGATGATACATGCAGTGCAGGCGTAGTGCGACGTTGCCAGTTGTGTGAGGGATTTTGTTTGTCTGTTTTTCTTCGGAAAATTGTATTTAATAAGCAAGAAAATTGTTTTGTTAGAGACAATAAATAGATGTATTGATACATTTTACGCTATTAGGCATATGCATTTAAACTATTAAGGTGCAAAATTAATTTATTTCATGACTAAAAAGGAATAAGTTCAGCATTTTTTGCTCCGAAACGGTTGATTTTCGGACATAGATTATAATGAGCTTTTTTGCTTAGAATAATGCAAGGAATCGCCTCTTAAAGTTACGAATATTATTTCCATTACACCCTGTACCTGTATAACCCACTATTTGGGTTTTGATGAGACTTTGGCACAAGATGGTTACTATGCTGAGCACTAAAAAGTTTTGTAAATCTTGAACATAGGAATAACGACGGCGTTATGAGCTAAAGGTTAACGTGTCAGAACGTCCACAAAGTCCGTTTCTGATGTTTTGCTGGTATCTGGTCGTAGTTTAAAAGATCATTATGCAGGAATCAAGATTTTATACCCTTTAGTTCGTTTTTGACGTTTTTTTAAGTCTCTGGTATTTTGTAACGAAACCAAAAAATGTTCAGGGAGTTTCAAATCAAGCATTTATTATCTTAATCTGTCACTAATAACGCTAAAGGTGTACGCACATTGAGAGGAAGAGAAACGAAACGGCCGCGCTACTATGTCACTAGACAATGCTTGACATATAGTCATGGGCGTCCGCAGGGGAGTGCCACGGGGGCCGCTGCCTCACCTGATTATCCAATTGGAGTTCAAATTCTGAATTTTTAGCATGATTGTGTACAATTTTGGTGATTTTCAGGATTTGGGGCAGGTACATGATAATAGCCCTCCCTTAGATAAATTCCTCCGGGCTTTCATGCATACGGCTGCCTCTTTCTGGCATCATTGTTGAACATTGTTCATTCCCTTCTTCTCAACGTGCGAGTGCCTTCAGAAAAAAATCAAATGAACTCATATTTCGTTTGACAATCTATTACACTTGCTTCATTTTTTTTTTAGACATCAACGAATGCGACATGTTCGGCAACCTGTGCGTATTCGGCAAATGCGAGAACACTTTCGGAATGTTCCGATGCGAGTGCCACGACGGCTACAAGTTGGACGGCTCAGGAGGAAACTGTACGGACATAGACGAGTGCGAAAGCCCTCAGTCCTGCCTCTACGGGGAATGCCTCAACACCGAGGGAAGTTTCAAATGCGTCTGCCCCCCGCACTACGAACTCGTCGCAGAGGGAAATGCTTGTATAGGTGAGTAGCTTTTGGAATATATAAGTATTCAGTGATTTTTAATAATTTATTTCTAGGAAGTTGTCCATATGATGCATATTTTGATCTTGTAATAATACCGAACACACTTTTCTCCATTTTTGTTTATCACAATATATTGTGAAAATTATCCCAACTAACAATTATCACTCCAATTAGAGTTGCAAGAATGATTATACAGTATTCCTTACACAGCATTGTATGCTGTAAGAACATTGGCAAAACCCTTTTAGAACAGCTATACAAGCGGAATGGGCACACCTAATAGGACACTTCAGTCATTTAAGAGTTTGTATAATAGCTGCAGGTAACAGTTATACAACAAAAGTGTAAGCCTCTTGCAGCCGCTATAGGACATTTGCGTCAGTGCAAGATTCAGTTTTTGTCAACTATACAACTATTCTGTTACATGATTCTACTTTATTGCAACCAAACTATTTCTTATGTACTGTATAGACGAAGTGAAGAATATATAACTAATACATTACAGTCATCTTGTTTACTTACAGATCGGCCATTGTGAATTTCATACACAGGTATATGATACACTTTTACACTGTGATATAGGGCTATTGAATTACTTGCGCAGCAAATTTTATTGTGATTATCGTGCAAAGTAGTTACGCAATTTCTACGGGCTTCATATTTGATTCATATTTTGATAATGATCAAAAGTATGTCTAGATTTTTAAGATGGAAAACTGAACGTATCTGCGTTAAATCTTCCACAAATCCTATACAATAATTTTTATCACTTTATATCTGTACTTTCGAACTGAAACATAATTATTTAATATTAAATAGAGGAATAAATGTTTGCCCAATATGGCGGGTGGTTGTGTATAATCATGGCATCGTCCATGTTGTCTTTAGTTTTTTAGAATATTTTGGTGTTGCCTGCAGGTGTTATACAACAATTTGACAAATGTCTGAAATGAAATACCGACAGAGTCGAATGATTTACCCAGAATTTGTATCAGATCTATATCTTCGGTTTGAACAGTTGATAAAACCTTTTGAACCAATATGCATGCGTTGTTTGTCTTAAAACATTGGTTATGGCATTTTAACCAAAATATGACAGCAGAAAGTTAGGTTATGGTGAAGTTGTATACCAACATATTTAGCATATGTACAGCCTTTAACAGTTACTAAACAACAGTTGTATAAGTGCTTCCGTTGGGAGCAATTTGTTGGCTAAAATAGTAAATTGCACAGCAAAACAACAAGGCTCGGGTTTGTTTTATAAACGTTACAATGGATGCCACAACACAACCATTTTGATTAACGTGCAAATATGCCGTATAAAATAGTTGTATAAACGTTTTTTGCAACAGTTGAACTTGCCCTATAAGGTGTTGGATAACTATGCTATAAGAATATCTTAAACACCTCATTTTAGAGCAAATATGTTGCAGAAAGCAAATTTGCATTCCACACAACATTAAGCCAGCATTTTGGTGTTCAGGCAACAACAATAGAGAGCTTTTATGGCTGAACGGTTCTTTCACCAAAAGCTTATACCACTACTTTGCTAGTTGGGATATCCATTTTTTAGGTATGATGTAACTTATTTTTGCTTTTTCGCTCGTGTGTTGGAAAAACCATTTGAAATAGGTATATTGAAGGAGAACTCAGTTGAATCCCCTGTTTTCCTGTCGGAAGGAAAGAGCCTATAATATTTAATTTTTATTTTTTATGTCAATAGAACGTGAGCATGCAAAAGTGACATTATATTGATTTTTAATGACATGTTTATGTATTTCTGAAAACATGTATCCTCATCACTTCTACTAGTGCGTGTTGCTTAACCGTCATGACACTGAATAATAATAATAATCAACTTTATTTGCCACCGCACTATGATATAATATTACAATAAAAATGCAAAGTTGATAATTTAGATATCGAATATGCGAAAACAAAACGGTGAAGTTTAGCTGAGAGCTAATCTACCACTTGATCGAAGAATGGTTTGGGTCTGTTGTGATGTAACATCTGTTTCAGAGATTACACTGAGGTCTTCTGGGGCTTGAGCTGTATATTCTATACTATAGGTCGTTGTACCATTCACATTGATGCGCGTTGTGTGGACTAAAGACTAGCTAGTAGACAAGTTGACATTATACCGAATTCTAATGGCATTTTATCATGTTTTACGCAATAATCCTGATGCGTGTCAAAGTATAGTTATTTTTATGGTTTTTGGTGGGTCACATGATACTACTCGTCAGTTGACCCCTCCTAGAGACCCTCAAAAACTTAGTGAAAAGCAAATCAATAAAATTTATAGGTACACTCACTTAACGTGCTTGATCGATCACTCCCGCATGTCAAAACTCGAACGAGTTCCCCATTTCCATTCCTAGTATTCAAATTCTAAGTTATAATAATTATAATAATAATTTAATTCAACTTTCATTTACCTTACAGCCAAGAGCTCGTGAAGATTCACACATTGGACTTTATACTGTTCTTATCACAATCACTATACTACTAGGTGAAAAATTTGATGTGCAATTGACTGTACCTACAATTTATACATTTCTTATTCATCGTATGAACTTGCTTCCCCCCTGGGCCATTGGCTCTTGCTACCCGTATGACTTTCAACCCTCTATCTCTCTCATGCATATGTTAACATACCCAATCAGTCTCTAAGCGCAGATGTTTGGTGTACCTTCTTTAATTTCGTCACACCACTTTTCTCGCCAACTTTCTCATCCAGGCTTGTCACTGTCAAGCGTGTGATTCGATTTTCTTTTGTTGAACTTCGTGATTAAAATATGCAATGACTAAAAGCATGACTGGTAGACAATATGAACAGTCCCCTTTTGCCCTATTCATGTTTATGAAAATAACTGCATTGAAGATTTCACCATCTTTATCGCAGTTTCGATACCTCGGTATTTAGGCTCTGCCTTCATTGGTGTTCTAGTAAAACAAATGACCCCGCCAAACTGAAAATTCTTGGATATGTCAGAATTTCGAAAACCTTAATCATTTTGTGATAAAATTTCATGGTACTTTAGCGACATATTAAAAATTGTTACAATCTTTTGTGCAAAAACCTTTAACTGCCGGAACACACGTGCGTTAAATTACCGCGCTGAGAAAAGACGCGCGTTCAGCATCAAATCGATGTAGATGGAACAATTCACACTACCGATGCGCGTTGGATGGAACGCACGTATTGCAAGGCAACAAATTGGTTGACGATCGTGTCATGCAAAAAGATCGTCAGGACTTGAAAGTGGTAACGTACCCCTTGCGATTGCGCATTTCAATGCGCGTATTTCTGTAGCGCCATAATTTAACGTCCATTTGTACCGGCAGTAAATCTCAGAATGATTTAAGACTCTGCTCTTTGAGACCTGGAGTAATTCTTCTTAATTCAAAATAGCAACTCAAAAGAACTAGGGTAGAATTCATTGACCAAGCATTCTTTTTGCATGCAGTTCGATGCTACGCCATTACACATTTTTTGGGGCTTTTCTAGCATACTGATGAATTAAGCATGAATTACTGCGGAATTAAATTTTATTTTGGGTTTAAAGGTACCTAAAATTAAGCTGTTACATCCAAATAAAACTGAACAACTGTGTCATGGCCAAACTGAGTGCAAAAATAATTTCTGAACCATTCCGGCTAGAACTATACTGTTTAAATGAGTAAGCTGAGCTGTTCCAAATTATCTGAGGCTTTTCAGTGTTTACATTCTTTTCAATAGATCGCCTAATTTGTCCTAGCACCTATCAAAGCTTTCGTGAGCTTTACCACCCAACTGCGAATCTACAATTTTGATTTATTGAACCTTGGAGATAAAAGAATTATTATTGCAGACAGAAGAACATCCCGGTGTTTCCTCCACTACGGGGGCCCAGGACATTGCACGGACCCTACAGCAGACTACGTGACCAAAGCAGGATGCTGCTGTTCAGTGGGCCAAGCATGGGGCCAAGGCTGCGAGGCATGTCCCCATCCAGACAGCGTCGAATACGCACAACTTTGCCCCGGGGGTATGGGATACAAACCGAATGCTGTCACGGTAAGTTGAACAAATATCCTCGTAGACAGCAAAATATTTTTATACTAAACATGCTGCTTTCGTCGGTCCGACCACAAACAGCTGTTTCGTGCTTTTTTTCAACTCATCTGCACGGTCTAGGCTCGGTTAGATGGCACTTTGTGCTGTCTAATTTTGACAGATCTTATACCTCAAATAGTATCCTTCCAAAAAGGGCTACACCTCATACGGCGAGCGAGGTTTTGGAATTGTCTCTGACACGTCGTCCAGATGGTGCGGGATTTTTCGCAATTGTGATATTCACCTACTTACGAGATCATACAATCTTAAGCTGCTCGACATTTTTTATAGTAACTCCTCAGAGATAAAGGCTGTTCAGACAACTCGCAGACGATAGCTGATTATTGATCTGAAGCGAAACATTTTTCAAGTGGTACCGTCATTTTTCGCAATGTTGATACTTACCGACATACGAGAACATGCGATGTTAAGTCGCTCGACATTTTCTTAGGAACTCCTCTAAAATAAAAGCTGCTCAAACAATTCGTAGACGATAACCGATTAATGACCGGAAGCTTAACATGTCTCAAGTTATTGAGGCAATTGAGCCAAAAGATGACAAAAAATTGTAGCCAAATGATGGTCATTTGTAGAAACAGCTGAGAGGGGAGGTATTTGGGCAAAATTATTCATAAAACATAACCTCTATAATCTGTTCATATTAGCAAGCATGATATATCTTCAAAATTGTTGGTTTTACATATAAACAAAATCCCGAGGTATCTATACTGGGCGAGTCAGTCCACTACTCTGGAAGTTCCTACTGTTGGAGCTACGAATATCTGAGATGAATCTAACTGCCATTGACAGGAAACGGTGCACTTGATTCGCTTTGGTGGCCACAAAAAGTGGGATAATGACAAAAACCAACCCTGGAACTTAACCTCGTCATACACGACTGAGAATAATAATTTCAAAATGCGATCTTGTTGAAATGATTGACGCCGTCTTCTAATACTTCTAATAATCTCTGTTGCGCCTCATTTTCAAAATCAGTAGCCCACCACTTTGAACTTTCCTCTGGCCAGTTTTTCAGCTACAAACGCTGAAGCTGCTTCTATTTGATTTTCATATTGCTGCATGTTATAGTGAAGGATCAAAATGGAAAATAGTAGCATAGCGCATTGTACGCCACCGCTACGTTGGGTATGTATGGTCGCATCTCACCGTAATCAAAAACGCACCGCGTTAACAGTGGCGTACGATGCCTTTCAAATTTTGATAATTGGTTATAGATTAAAATAATAAATCTGAACAGGTCGTACTAGAGGATATAAACGAATGCGAAGAACATCCAAACATCTGCGAAAACGGGCACTGTACGAACACATTTGGCAGTTTCATGTGTTCTTGCAACGAAGGTTATAGACTCGACGTCACTGGGTTCATGTGCGTTGACATCAACGAATGTCAGGAAAATCAGAACATCTGCAACGTAGGACAGTGCATCAACGAACCAGGCAAATACTTTTGCCAATGTCCTGAGGGATACATGCCTATGCCTGGAAGACGTAAGTGCATTTTTTCTACCTAAACACTGGTTATATTCAGTTGCATTCAATTTTGGATAGAAAGCAATATTATCTGAATCTGACTACTCTTTCGTTGTTCATATATGTACAGGGTGTTTCAGTTTATTGTTGCATAACTTTAAGATTCGATAGAACTCTATATAAACATGGGTCGAAAAATGCGTGGCTTCCGAAATACAGGGTGTTTAAATTTACTTTCTAAAACAGTTTTTTTTTAAATATTTCGAATAATATTTGATGTATAACAGTGAACATTGGTATACAAGGGTAAGGCAAGACGAACCATGGGCATTGTTTTACTGTAGCCGCTAGAGGGCACTCTCTACTGTACCTGTAGTGTATTAAAATGACCGAAAAAATTTTCTTAGTGCAATTTTTTGCTTTTTGAATAAAAAAACTGATTCTTCGCACTTTTCTGCATAAAAAAGCTCTCTTGCGAGTTTTCGTTATAGTTAGCCGTTTTTGAGATATTTAGACTCTTAAGGTTCGATGCATTTTTAATTTTATTTATGATAAAATAACGTTAAAAAGTCAGTATCTCGATAATTTTTAGAAGTAGGCTGTGCCTGCAAATATTTTTGTTATTGAAAGCAGAACAAGGTTAAACGTCAATTAGTTGACAGTTAGTTTTGTTGTCTGTTGAAACCTGAAACGTTTTTTTGCAATTGTGAATGCACGAAATTTAGTTTCTTTTACTTGTTTTTTTTTGTAAGTTTTATAAAAATGCCATTTTTATTCTCCAATCAAGTGTTAGCGGATATTCATTTTGTGTATGAATTTGTAAATGGAAACGCAGCAGAAGCAGCCAGAGAATACGCACGAAGATTTCCAAACAGACGACATCCAACTCGCTCAGTACTTGTAAGAGTGAATCGCCAAAAATGGTTTTGGAATTCTCCAAAGGGATCAAAAAATAAATGTTCGTCAGCGCAGATTTACCCGTATGATTCCGCGTGAGTTTGATAGAGATCCGACCACAAGTGTTAGGAGAGTTTCTGGTGCCTTGGGAATTTCAGCAAGCCATGTTCACCGTGTTCTTAGAAATGACCATAGACGTCCTTACCATTCGCAACCTGTGCAAGGACTACAGCCAAGGGACGGAGAACGAAGAATCACATTTTGTCAGTGGATTCTTGTTAGAACTGAAAATAATAGGGAGTTTTTAAGTAACGTTTTATGGACCGATGAGTCAGGCTTCACTAGACGTGGAGTGGTAAATTTTCATAATCAACATATTTGGGCGCATGAAAATCCGCATGCAGTTCAGGAAAGACATTTTCAGCATGAATTTAGTGTGAACGTGTGGATTGGTATCTACCGTAATCGACTATTTGGACCCTACCTTTTGCCTGCAAAGTTAAATGCTGCGACCTTCCTGGAATTTTTAAAGGCTGAACATGCAAATATGTGGGATGATATTTTGTTAGATTTAAGAAGATTGGCCTGGTTCCAGCTTGATGGTTGTCCAGCTCATTATTCGAGAATAGTTAGAAACTGGCTGGACGAAAATTATCCAGAAAGATGGATCGGCCGTGGAGGACCAGTCGCCTGGCCTCCACGATCCCCTGACCTAAATCCATTAGATTTCTTTGTGAGGGGATTTATAAAAGAAAAAGTGTACCAGACTCCCGTAACCACAAGAGTTATGCTAATAGACAGAATCAGGAATGCATGTGGTGAAATAAGGCCTTATTTGAATAATGCTATACCACGTTCGATCATTCGTAGATGTGAATTGTGTATTGAACAATTGGGTTTACATTTCGAGCAACTACTTTAGATTTTGTATGTTTGTCCTAACTATCCAATACCATTTTAGTTGTAAATAATTAATTTAATTTGTTAAAAATAATATTGGAAAACTAAACAAATTAATATTCTGTTTTTTGTGTTTATTTGGAGTTAGGAATTATTGCTGTGTTTAAAAACACAATCTAAACGATCATCTTAATTACTTGTAATGCCCAAATCGAAAATGTAAAAAAAATATTATTTTCCCATAAATAATTAAAAATGCACCGAACCTTAAAAATCGAAATATCTCAAAAACGGCTAACTATAACGAAAACTCACAGGAGAGCTTTTTTATGCAGATAAGTGCGGAGAATCAGTTTTTTGATCCAAAAAGCAAAAAATTGCACTAAGAAAAAAATTTCGGTCATTTTAATACACTACAGGTACCGTAGAGAGCGCCCTCATTAAAACTATGCGTTCGTTTTATCGTACCAAAAAACCCTTGTATACCAATTTTCACCGTTACATCAAACATTGTTCGAAATATTTAAATAAAACTATTTTAAAAAGTAAATTTAAACACCCTGTATTTCGGAAGCCACGCATTTTTCGACCCATGTTTATATAGAGTTTATGCATTAATTTTAAAAGTTCTATCGAATCTTAAAGTTATGCAACAATAAACTGAAACACCCTGTATATGCAGTCTTTATTTCTATTCAGGTGAATGTGTGGATATGAGAAAGGACCTGTGCTTCTTGAACTACAGCAGATGGAGATGTACGACCCCAATGACCCAAAATCAAACCAAGAAAGTATGTTGTTGCTCTATGGGTCAAGCGTGGGGTCAGCCTTGTGAACCATGTCCTCTGGCAGGCACCAGTAGGTATACAATTGCATGTTTTCAGTACTATCGATAACATTCTTTATTGTACCATTCAATTCCATTAAAGACATATCTTAGTTCAATTTTACAATCATTCTTTATTCTCATATCCATCAAGATTTAAAATAAAGTTTTCCAATCAATATTTGAGCACCTTACCAAAGATAGTGCTGGGCAACTTCATTTTAATATACTTCTAACTTCAATGACAAGGTTCACGTCGAGCTGAATCGCTCCACTACGACCCTTAGGTCTATAGAGACACGGGCGCTAGAAATCATGGATAGGCTGCATGTCTCATAATTTGTCATTTGACGTTTCGGAGATACAACCCCTAAACGCCGTTACTAATACTAACGAATGGAGACAAAGTTGCACATTTAGGTAACTAATAAAAGGATACTCATTAGGAGTATTCACAGGCGAAAGAAACCAAATTTGTCCAAAAGCTTTTATTTTTTCTTGACTTTATTTGAGATGAGGCTTCAAAATTAAAAGAATGTTACTATTACCACTTTTTTCTCCTCTACAAGATGGCACGCTTAGAATTTCAATATGACGTATCGTACTCTGTCTTCAATCATGAACTTTATTTTCTGTAATAGAGGCTATATTGGATTTTTATGTAGGTGAATGGAGTTTTTGATGCTGATTCTATATTAAAATGTATGATATGCCATACATTGAATTTGGCAAACCTTAGTTATTTCGGAAACTATAATTTCCTGAGTAAGCTTTGAAATTATCAGATAGTCATTTATTTCTTAGTATCACCAGTCAAGCATTGCCTGTAATATTAACAAATTTGATATTATAAAACCTCAAATGTCTAATAAAGTAATCTTCCTATAGTTGGTCTTATCTAATAAAGAACAACATAATGCTAAAACTTGTTTACATTTTTTCAAGGTAACAGTAATATTTTAAGTATGTGTACATGATGTTCACATCTTGTATTCAAATACTATTAATCTACTGCGTATGATAGTCGATAAATGGGCGAATTATCTGTCATTTGAACACGCTTCTCAAAAAAAAATGGAGTGTTGGGGATTTAATTGGTAAATATGTGATAAACTGCTATTTTCAAAACCAAAATATAATTTTTTTAAGTATCTAAGGTTTGACAAAGCCAATGTATGACAAATTACACCTCTTTGAAATCAGAATTAAAAACTCTCTTCTCCTGTGCAACAATAAAAAAATATAGTCGATGATTGAGCCTAAGTAACGAAACGTCATATTTAAATTGTAATCAGGCCACCTTGTAGACGAGAAACAGTTTAGGTATTAAGATACTTTTGATTCTGATATTACTCAAAGTCAGGAAAAAATAAAAACGGCTTTTACTAAAAATTGATTTTTTTCGTCTGCCTCTGGAAAATCTCGGAATTGCGATACTTTCTAAGGTCCATTTTCTTAGTTGTCACCTATAATCCAGCAAAATTTAAACTGCATTGTAATTGGTTGAGTCCTTACATAGTGGTGTTCAATAATTTGATTAGATTCGCAAGTCGGACTAGCCCTACCACAGTACTGCTATTTTTTTACACTCTGTATAATTATATCTGGAAAACTATATTTTTTGAAAGGTGTCTAATAAAAAAATCAGTACTTGTTTGATTTCGATAAAAGGTTTTTGATACAATTAGTATAAATTAATGCACGTAAGCATTATTGATGCATTAGGTATTGATTGAAGACACTTTTTCTCAAAAACAGTTTGTTTTATCGAAATAGCGAATACATTTTTTTTTCAGCTAGAGGATCCGGATTTACAGGAATGTTATTTTGCAGCTGTTATTATACAGAATGGGCGATCCAACTGAATTAATTGTCTTCCATCGGTTACTAAGCAATCAAAATTCCGTTTTATTATGCCGTATTGTTCAAGAGTTATTTGACAAAAATCGATTTCCTGTGGCCTATACCTCCAAAACGAAAATCGCTTATAACAATTCATAGAATCATCTTTCGAATTCCTGTCCACGTATAGTTATATGTTAGTTGTGTGACAATTGAATTATTATATTTTTAGACGAGTATATAGGTCTTTGTGGAGCTAGACCAGGCCAAATAGTAAATCCGATCACGAACGAGACCGTGGAAATAGACGAATGTGAATTGATGCCATCCATGTGCAAACACGGCCAATGCGTAAACACCCCTGGAAGTTTTGAGTGCATGTGCAGAAGCGGTTACGTCTACGACGAAAACTCCCATCAATGCATCGATGACAATGAGTGTTTGAGGAACCCTTGCGGAGGAGCTGCTCAGTGTGTCAATTTGCCCGGAAGTTTCGAATGCAAGTGCCCGGAGGTAAGGATCTCAGCTCATAACGGCGATTTAATGTATATGTACAAGATGTTACACAAATAATGTACTAATTTATCTCAAGAATTCTTTTTTGAGGTAGAAAAACGGGGTTTTAGGGCGTTTCGTTCATCTCAGCAAAAACCTATCATCTGATGTTTCAAATTCGATCCTACCCAAAGTTGCGTATCTAGGTAACTAACAAAATGCCGCTTAGAAAGTTTCGAAATTCAAAGTACTTCCGAAGAAAGACGGAAAAAAATGAATTTTTCCAAAATCGTTTCAATTTTTTCCTGACTTTATGTGTAGTGGGATTTCAAAATAAATTGTAGACTAACGTCGCCACTTTTTCTCCTTTACAAGATGGCGCAATTAGATATTTAAATATGACGTTTTGTCTCTTGTCCTCCAGCATCAAGTTTGTTTTTTATTATGAACGATATCTACTCATATATTGGACTTTTGCACAGATGAGAGTTTTTAATTCTGATTCCAAGCATGTACAACGTGCCATACATTGACATTGCCAAACCCTAGCTAAATAAAAAAACTAAATTTTCTAGGAAGACCTTGAAATTATCAGTTATTTTTTGGTGTATCAGATTTCTCCTACAATCATTTTTATTTATTTCTTGACCTTATTTGAGATGGTGTGGTCAAATTTCCAATTCGAGGTTTCGATTTCGACCTCCATCACCAACTTTTTTCTCATATAGACGCTATATTAGTATTTTGCACATTTGAATACTACTAAAAATAATATTACTTCAATTAAATATGTGAAGTTTATCGTGATATAAATAAATGTATTACATATATTCATAACCAAGTGCAGAATCAAAAATTGTGTTCGATTCTGTAAAATTTCAATATGGAGTCTATAAGAAAAAGCAAAGCTAATGATGGAGATCGAAAGTAGCAACGTCCAACTGCGAATTTGCCATCTCCTTGTAGAAGAGAAATATGACACTTATTTTAAAATCCCATTAAAAAAAAATAGGATGTTAACAACGATTTTGCGATATTCCCGTTATACGAAACAAATGATAATTTCAAGGCCTACCTAGGATTCTTTTTTTTTAGTAACTAAGATTTGAAACATTGTATATTTTTGCAATCAGAATTAAAAACTGTATTCATATGTGTAAATATTTATTGGAAAAAATACTGTTGATGGTGGACGACAAGAGACCAAAATTGTGCCACGTTATAGAGAAGAAAAAAAGACAATATTAAAATTCCTCTGTATATAAGGTTATGACAAAATTAAAACGATTTTGGGAAAATTCGGTTTTTTCCATCTCTTTCCGGAAGTGTTTTAAATTTCTAAACAGCAATTTGTTAGATACCTAAATATGCAACTTTGCCCCCAGCTCCCATTCAAGCGACTTCAGAGATGTCAATGGTAAGTTTCGAATTTGAAGCCCATATGACATATTCAAGATTTAACAAGATTTTTCTTTGCCTTTAAAGTTTCTCTGTTGCTACAAGCGTCCAAAACTCGGTACCAGAAATTTGAGACGCTGATTTTAAAAATAGATCACCGAAAAATCTTAGTGTCAAAAAGCTATATTCGTATGAGGGGTCTTTGGGGCCTCTTGTCAAATTTCGAGAAAATCTGATATCAGATCCGAGATCTATGCATCCGATTTACTCAAAATACAGCACTTTGGAAAACATTTCTTCAACAGTACCCCTACAAGAAAACTTGGGACACAGTACAGTGATTCCGAATATGGCCATAAAAAAATCTAAAGTTTCGCTAAGCCCTATAATTTGAGCCGGTAAAATAATTTTTATTAATCTACAGTGCAACCCGCTTATAATGGACTCGGCGGGACTGTGAAAAATAGTCTTATTATAGGCGGATGACCCTCTTAAAAGATAAAACTTTTTTTAATGAAAAAAGCAGCAGAAATAACATAGTAAAAGCTTAAAATGTGTTTGTTTAACATGTATTACATAAATAAAGATACATACATTAAAAGCTATACGTAATTCTGAAATATGCATTTTTTCAGAATCTGATACGTATAGTATATTACAGGCATAGGTACTGTGTAGGTATGTGTAAAAACCGTAAATTATCTGGTAAAAGAGGTAGTAATTTTCATTTGAACAGATTGTTTTTTGATATAATTATTTAGAACAGCAAGTTGAATTTTATTTAATTTGGTAAGTGTGGCTGTCCTGCCTTCTTCTTACTGAAAATAAGTTGATGTCATCTACACAGATATTCAGAAGGCGTTTGATCAAGTTGATCATTATGCACTTCTGGATAAGCTTAAAACAGTGGGTATGTCTGATGCAATGCTGTCGCTCGTGAATTCATATTTGAGGGATAGGAGGTTATTTGTCGAATATGGTGGTCATAGGTCGAGTTACTATCGGGCCACGTCTGGGGTACCTCAATGGTCAAATCTAGGTCCATTATTGTTTTTAATATTTATTAATGACTTGTCTTTTGAACTGAAGTGTTTCCATTTGTTTTTCGCTGATGACCTTAAAATCTGCACGTCAGTCAAGACAGTCGAGGATTGCGTCATGTTGCAAGATGACTTAGCTCTAATTTCGTCATGGTGTTCACGAAACTGTCTCAGTCTGAATGTTTCGAAATGTAAAGTTATAACTTATACAAGAAAAGTTAACTATTTAATTTATGATAATTATAAAATCAATGGTCAGGTTATAGACAGATGCACCTCTTATAGAGACCTTGGAGTCTTTTTGATACCAAGTTTACTGAGCATATTCTCAATATCTCGTCGGCTGCCACTCGACTACTTGGTTTCTGTATCAGAAACTGGAAGGGTTTCTCCAATGTTGATACATTAATGACTTTATTTTTTACTTTTGTCAGGAGCAAGTTGGAGTATGCGACTCTGATCTGGTCTCCTATATACCAAAATTCTGTCGTGATGCTTGAGGCCATTCAACGTAAAGCTTTAAAGTATTTTCACCTTAAATGCACAGGTTCTTATCCAGAAAGAGGTTGTGACCATAGTGCCCTATTAGAGTTTTTCAATTTGAATTCTCTGTCAACAAGACGAAACATATTTGCTTTGTCGATTTTGTATCGCCTCATTCACAATAAATTTGACTGTCAAAATTTACTTGAAAAAATATGTTTCCGCGTTCCAAGGCTAGGGAGTCGACAACAAACGGCATTCTATTGTCAAGCTCGCCGTACAAATGTTATGACAAAATCGCCAATTAATCTCATGTGCTGCGTCATGAACAGTGTTACTGAATCGTGTGATATTTACAGTGACAGTTGTGCATCGATTATTAACTGCTATAGATCATCCAATCTTATTTAGAATGTGTGAGACTATAGATTTAAGTCCAAGAACCATGTCTCTTTAATTGTTATTTTTTTTCAGCGTTTCCTGTAATTGGGTTTCACCTGTTGGAAATAAATAAATAAATAAATAAAATTAAGGTTGCAACTTTTTCACGCAGTCTAATGCCTCCTTAGTTGTCACTGGAAGTTGCTCTTCATCGTTGTTTTCTAGTTCGTCTTCCTGTTCTTTATCAACGGACCCTTCATTAACCAAATTGGAGTCTGACAATTCCTGTGTTGGTATTAAATTATTGTCAACATCTACATACTCATTAAATTTGTCTATATTCAGTAAACTATTACTTTTCAGTAAATCACTTAATGGAATTTTATCTTCTGGATTAAAATCGTTGACTATTTCAGTTATGTTTTTCAATAAACCAGCATGGCGAAAACAACGAATCATTTCTGGAGTAACCAATTCCCATGAAATAGTAAGAAAATTTATAGCATCTAAAATGGTGACAGCTTTGGTAATGCTGACATCTTCTTGAAGCGCCATAATTTTCATCAACATATGTTTCCGATACATTTGTTTAAGACTCCAAATTATACCCTGATCTATTGGTTGCAGAACTGATGTCACATTGGGTGGAAAAAATTGAAGGTTCATGTTATTAAGTGAAATATTTGGATGAGCGGGGCAGTTATCGACCAAGAGCAAAATTTTGCGATTTTTGTTAAGTTCAGCGTCCCAATTTTTTTAAATATTCTTCAAAAAGTCATACAAGCTTTATTATCTCCAACATAATCGACGGGAATTGTTTTAACATATTTGAAACACGTGGGATTCTTAAAATTCACTGAAATAAAAAACAGGTCTTAAGTTCATTTCAGCACTGCCATTGAATATCAAAAAAATTAGAACATGAATTTATATTCATTCACTTACCTATTATCAGTAGTTTCCGTCCTTCAGTACCAGAAGCATTAGCACAAATCATAACAGTTATTCGCTCTTTTGTTAGTTTCCCTCCATTGCAAGTTGCACCTTTTAATTTACGAGTTTTATCTGGTAGCATTCTATAAAAATATTCCGGTTTCACCTGCCTGCATTGAATATGTTATCATCTGAATAATCACTGGATATTACGGTCCAAACTTGAGAAATCCAGTCATTGGTAACGTTCTTGTCAACTGAAGCTGACACGCATTTTTCCAAAAACAATGTTATGTCTTTTCTTAAACCTGTTTAGGTAACCGGAACTACATTTGAAGTAATCTCCAATCAATTTCTCAAATTCTTCAGCCTTTATGTGTAGCATAGGTCCACTTATTGGAAAATTATTAGCACGCTTTTGTTGAAACCATTTAAACAGCATACCATCGACTTGGGGATGCAGCGATAGCCGCATATTTTTCTTTTGACAATTTGATTTCCGGTCATTTTTAATTTTTGTGTTTCCAAATATCTGACACAGTGGATTTTTTCATAGCCATACGAGCACATATATTTGCTTGACACGAACCCTGCTCAAGCTTACTAATTATCGTGAACTTTTTGCGTAAAGTGAATACACGTTTCGCACTTTTCGACATGTTTATAACTCTAATAAATACAGTATAACACTAGTGCCCAAGTTAGAATGCAAACTGCGAAGCTAAACCGCCGTAAACGATTGTATCAGCTAAATCTGCTTCGGGCAACTACCAAAATAGCCCGCATATAATGGATTAAAATAGTCCGCTATATGCGAGGGCCTATTTTAAGCGAGTCTATAATATCCGAGGTATTTATAGTACATGCAGTTATTTATAGGACCTTAAATTGTGTTCATTATATACGGGTTTCCATTATAAGCAAGTTAATTTTTTGGTGAGGGGGGATTGCGTTTATGCACCATACCATAGTCCGAGCTACGGCGTGTGTGGGACTCCAGGTTATCTTGAGGAGACCACCTAATACCCACTAAACCCTAACCTCCGCGTGGCCCGACTCATCAGCGTCTCGGTAGGCCATGTGTTGTGCGTGACCTGCGGTCTGCTACAACGTCTCCTCATGTGTTTCAGTCTCTGGGAACTGCGGGTTGGTTCCCTTTAGCTCGCACAGTTCTATCGATGTCGTTAAGCGAGCATCGATATAGGGTTTGCTATGTTCTCTTGAAACTCTTGTTTTCGAAAATTCAAGAGTTTAAGTTCATTTTAACTGGATTCCACTGTATTTATATCTAGGGTTACAAACACGGATACACAATGATGGACTGTGTAGACATCAACGAATGTGTCGAGAAGCCAGGCATATGTCAAAATGGAGAGTGCAAGAATCTCGAGGGAAGCTTCCAATGTATTTGCGAACCAGGATTTAAGCTCACGTCTACAAGAGATAACTGCATTGACATTGACGAGTGTGTTCGTCATCCCAACATTTGCAACAATGGCAGTTGCATCAACATCATTGGATCGTATAAGGTAAGGGTCATAAGGGTCATATTTTCCTTACGGTTTAGACCGCTTTTGTTATATGCAATACAGGCCCTAGCATTTTCTTTATATTTGTTTTTTACAGTGTCATTGCAATGCTGGTTTTAAGCTGAGCAACAAAGTCGAATGTGAAGACATTGACGAGTGTCACATGATGCCGTTCTTGTGTAGAAATGGAAGATGCAGAAACAACTTAGGCTCTTTCTACTGTGAATGTGCTACAGGATATGCTCTCACTGCTGACAAACATAACTGCAGGGATATCGACGAATGCCAAGAGGTAACAAAAAATACTGTATTAATGAACGTAGTGAAAAAAAAACTGTGTTAAGTTAATCATAATTCTTGTTGCATACATTGTGAGAAAATATTTCGTTAATTTTAGACTCCAGGAGCATGTCCTCCACCCGGAAAATGTACCAACGTAATGGGGTCCTTCGTATGCTCATGTCCAGAGGGGTACGAACTAAGCACGATCACTGGAGTTTGTGAAGACATCGATGAATGTATAGTGAATCCAGGAATTTGTGAGAACGGAATTTGTACTAATACAGACGGAGGAGCGTTCTGTACATGTCAGGAAGGGTAAGTTTGTTATAAGCTAAATAAGATCTGTTTTCTTTCCATCTCTGTGTCCATGACCAACCGAATACTACGTCATCCTTGTCATCAGAGCTGTATACAGGGTGTTTCAGTTTATTGTTGCATAACTTTAAGATTCGATAGAACTTTTAAAATTAATGCATAAAGTCTATATAAACATGGGTCGAAAAATGCGTGGCTTCCGAAATACAGGGTGTTTAAATTTACTTTCTAAAATAGTTTTTTTTAAATATTTCGAATAATATTTGATATATAACAGTGACAATTGGTATACAAGGGTTTTTTGGTAGGACAAAACGAACCATGGGCATAGTTTTACTGTAGCCGCTAGAGAGCACGCTCTACTGTACCTGAAGTGTATTAAAATGTCCGAAAATGTTTTCTTAGTGAAATTTTTTACTTTTTGAATAAAAAAACTGATTCTTCGCACTTTTCAACATAAAAAAGCTCTCCTGTGAGTTTTCGTTATAGTTAGCCGTTTTTGAGATATTTCGATTTTTAAGGTTCGATGCATTTTTAATTATTTATGGGAAATTAATATTTTTTTTTACATTTTAGATTTGGGCATTACAAGTAATTAAGATGATCGTTTAGATTGTGTTTTTAAACACAGCAATCATTCCTAACTCCAAATAAACACAAAAAAACAGAATATTAATTTGTTTAATTTTCCAATATTATTTTTAACAAATCAAATTAATTATTTACAACTAAAATGCTATTGGATAGTTAGGTCAAACATACAAAATCTAAACTAGTTGCTCGAAATCTAAACCCAATTGTTCAATACACAATTCACATCTACGGATGATCGAACGTGGTATAGCATTATTCAAATAAGGCCTTATTTCATCACATGCATTCCTGATTCTGTCTATTAGCATATCTCTTGTGGTTACGGGAGTCTGGTACACTTTTTCTTTTAGAAATCCCCACACAAAGAAATCTAATGGATTTAGGTCAGGGGATTGTGGAGGCTAGGCGACTGGTCCTCCACGGCCGATCCATCTTTCTGGATAATTTTCGTCCAGCCAGTTTCTAACTATTCTCGAATAATAAGCTGGACAACCATCAAGCTGGAACCAGGCCAATCTTCTTGAATCTAACATAACATCATCCCACATATTTGCATGTTCAGCCTTTAAAAATTCCAAGAAGGTCGCAGCATTTAACCTTGCAGGCAAAAGGTAGGGTCCAAATAGTCGATTAAGGTAGATACCAATCCACACGTTCACACTAAATTCATGCTGAAAATTTCTTTCCCGAACTGCATGCGGATTTTCATGCGACCAAATATGTTGATTATGAAAATTTACCACTCCACGTCTAGTGAAGCATGACTCATCGGTCCATAAAACGTTAGTTAAAAACTCCCTATTATTATCAGTTCTATCAAGAATCCACTGACAAAATGTGATTCTTCATTCTCCGTCCCCTGGCTGTAGTCCTTGCACAGGTTGCAAATGGTAAGGACGACTATGGTCATTTCTAAGAACACGGTGAACATGGCTTGCTAAAATTTCCAAGGCACCAGAAACTCTCCCAATACTTGTGGTCGGATCTCTATCAAACTCACGCAGAATCATACGGGTAAATCTGCGCTGGCGAACATTTATGTTTTGATCCCTTTGGAGATTTCCAAAACCATTATCAATTATTTGGCGATGCACTCTTACAAATACTGAGCGAGTTGGATGTCGTCTGTTTGGAAATCTTCGTGCGTATTCTCTGGCTGCTTCTGCTGCGTTTCCATTTACAAAGCCATACACAAAATGAATATCCACTAACTCTTGATTGGAGAATAAAAATGGCATTTTTATAAAACTTACAAAAAAAAACAGGTAAAAGAAACTAAATTTCGTGCATTCACAATTGCAAAAAAACGTTTCAGGTTTCAATAGACAACATATAGCAGAAAAATTATCTATAATACCATCATTCTTCCAAATTTCTTGTACTGTTCGACTATTCTATATTTAGCAAATAATTCCATTTTTGAAAGACTGCAAATTTTACAAAATAAGTGCATGAGAATAATACTAAATAAATATAAATATACTCCAATTAGGCAAATGCTTAGCAAATTAAAATGGCTCAATGTAAACAATTTTATCAAATATCTTGTAATGATATTCATTTATAAAGTAAAAAATAATATATTTCCATCAAGTCTAACTAATTTAACATCGTCAAATGTCGACCATCATTTACATAATACCAGAAATAAAGATGACTTCCATTTAATGACCAAAAAGTATAACATATGCTACAAATCTGTATTCCATCAAGGGTTGATTGAATATAATAAATTATACTCGGAGATAAAAGACCAGAAAACTTTGACAAAATTTAAAGTAAAATTGAGAAATCACTTGTTAAATCTACAGTTATAGGTTGCCCAGCATTTACATCATTCACCATATGGCTTGAATTTACTAGTTCTAAGTTGTTTACAATTATTCTGTTTATGTAGCCAAATGTGCTAAATAAATCTTTCTGCTAGTACTACTACTACTACTAAAACTAACTGTCAACTAATTGACGTTTAACCTTATTCTGCTTTCAATTTCAAAAATATTTGTAGGCACAGCCTACTTCTAAAAGTTATCGAGATACTGACTTTTTAACTTTATTTTATCATAAAAACGGCTAACTATAACGAAAACTCACAGGAGAGCTTTTTTTATGTTGAAAAGTGCGAAGAATCAGTTTTTTTATTCAAAAAGCAAAAAAAAGAAAAAATTTTCGGTCATTTTAATACACTACAGGTACAGTAGAGAGCGCCCTCTAGCGGCTACAGTAAAACTATGCCCATGGTTCGTTTTGTCGTACCAAAAAATCCTTGTATACCAATTTTCACTATTATACATCAAATATTGTTTGAAATATTTTAAAAAAAACTATTTTAGGAAGTAAATTTAAACACCCTGTATTTCGGAAGCCACGCATTTTTCGATCCATGTTTATATAGACTTTATGCATTAATTTTAAAAGTTCTATCGAATCTTAAAGTTATGCAACAATAAACTGAAACACCCTGTATAGAAGGCATACATGATACAAAAAGCAATAGCAATATTCCTAGTGCAGAAAGTATATCCAAGAATAAGTTAACACATTCCTTAGTATGAACATAGGTCTTGAAGCTCTAGTTACCAAGATGGAATGTTGTAAATTTACGCCTGATTGGTGAACATGATTTTTCGGATTAGGTTCTGGTGAGATAGTGTACATCATGCTACATACAATTTTCAACGTTAAGGTTCACTAACCCCTGAGCATTTTCAAAGTATATTTGAAATTTTTATCCGGATTTTACCGGAAACGTAAAAGCACCTGCATAATATGTTTCTTTCTTATTCTGCAAAGTTCTACTAAGTTCTGAGTATTTGGAAACTCGAATGAGATCAAACATTTCATACAAATCTTACTTTAGATAATCAAATCAATATTTGTCCAAAAGCTCCAGTCCGACAATAAATGTTCAAGATAAGCGATTCATGTAAATATGAGGTATCTAATAAAAAAAATTAAGAAATGTTCCAAAAGAGTCAGTGGTGTAAAGATAATGTTTCTTTTTTCTTCATTTTTTATGCCACTGGTGTAATTTCAGGCACGATATCTAATGTTTGTATATATTGTCTACGTTGATGGTACTATGTGTACAAAATTTCAATGCATTTTCTTGATCCACTCTATGGATGTCTTTTTTCGATTTAGAAATTATAGGTATAATTTCAACATCCTGTATCGCTCTACCTTGAGAGGGCATCTAAGGACACATGATTATATGAACATGCGTGTTATTTTATGATGAAATTTCTGTTCTACAAATAACGATGTTTTCTCGGTTACCATGTATGCCGACTTTTCTATGGAGGCTGCAACGGGTGGTTACAGCAGAAACCTCCTTAGTACCGACTTTCCAATGGAGACTTCAATGATCGATTAGAATAGAAACCTCGCAATAACACCGAAGAACCTACTCTCTTATACTGCCAGTTCGACAAAAGTACACTTTTTTACATATTACCTAATATAAATTTCAAATTCATTTGATTCATGAAATGCATGGACAAACATTTTTGTATGCGTTAATTATGCTGTTCGTAGCAATAGCGCTATGATGAGCTAGGATTACTAATACACTACAAACAATTTTCAATTCCAAACCACAAAGTTCTGAGTATTTTGAAACTAGAATGGGATCAAGCTTTTCATACAGATTTTACCTCAGATAATCAAACCAATGTTTGTCCAAAAGGACTAGTCCGACATAAAATTCTCAAGATAGGCGATTCATGTAAATATTAGTAGGTTTCGAATAAAAACAGTTAATAAATGTTTCAAGAAAATCAGTGGCGTAGAGAAAATTTTTCTTTTTTCTTCAATTTTTACGCCACTGGTGTAACTTCAAGCACGATAATCTTTATACATATTGGCTATCTTCTTGGTACTATGTGCACAAAATTTTAACTCAATTTCTCAATCCACTCTAAGAATATTTTTTCTCGACTTAGAAATTATATAACTTCAACACTCTGTATCCCCCTACCTTGAGGTGGCATCTCAGGTCACATGTTTATATGAATCATCCATGTTATATTATGATGTAGTTTCTGTTCGACCAACAACGATGTTTTCTCAGTTACCATGTATGCCGACTTTTCCGTGGAGACTTCAACGGGTAATTACAACAGAAACCTCCTTAGTACCGACTTTTCGATGGAGACTTCAATGATTGATCAGAACAGAAACCTCGCAAAACACCGATAAGCCTACTCTTTTATGCTATCAGTTAGGCAAAAGTACTCATTTTTACATATTAATATGAATATCAGATTCATTCTGGATCAAAGCTCCATAAAATGCATTGACAAACATTTTTGTATGCGTTAGTTATGCTGTTCGTAGCATGTTTACAAAATTTTAAGTCTTTATCAGCACGAAAAATCAGAGTCAGTATTTCCAGGAGGGAAAGTACATCCAAAAATAACAGAAAAGTCTCTATAAGAGTATGTCCTAAAATACAAAAAATAATGTAAATTACCAAGGTGCATGGTGTTATAAATTCCTACCAAACTGATGAGACTAAATAAGGATAAAACATGAATATTGATCAATAACGCTATGGCGAGCTAAGATTACTAATACACTACAAAAAATGTTCAATTCCAAACTACCAAGTTCTGAGTAGGTACCTATTTTGAAACCAGAATGGGATCAAGCATTTCATACAGATTTTACCTCGCATAATCAAACCAGTGTTTGTCCAAAAGGACCAGTCCAACAAAAAATTTCAAAATATCAAAAAAATGTAACAAATGCTTCAAGAGAGTCCGTGGCGTAAAGAAAATTTTTCTTTTTTCTTCAATTTTTACGTCACTGGTGTAATTTCAGGCACAACATTTTTTTTGTATAATTGGCTATGTTGTTGGTACTATGTGTACAAAATTTTAACGCATTTTGTTAATCCACCCTAAGGATCTTTTTCTGATTTAGAAGTTTCATAACTTCAACACTCTGTATCCCCCTACCTTCAGGGGGCATCTCAGGACACGTGTTTATCTAAACCATCTATGTTATTTTATGATGTAGTTTCTGTTCTACAAATAACGATGTTTTCTGTTACGCTGCCATATATGCCGACTTTTCTGTGGAGACTTCAACGGGTAGTTACAACAGAAACCTCCTTAGTACCGACTTTTCGATGGAGACTTCAATGATCTATCAGAACAGAAACCTGGCAAAACACCGATAAACCTACTCTTATACTGCCAGTTAGACAAAAATACTCATTTTTAGTTATTAATATAAATCTCAGATTCATTTTGGATCAAAACTCCATGAAATGCATAGACGTGCGCCAATTACATGAACATTGGTATACTTTAAGTGACAAACACTTTTGTATGCGTTAGTTATACTGTTCGTAGCATGTGTACAGTAATCAGCTTAGAAAATACAGAGTCAGTGTTTCTAGGAGAGAAAGTACATCCAAAAACAACAAAAAAGTCCCGATAAGCGTCCTAAAATATAAAAAAATGTAAGTTACCAAGGTGCATGGTGTTATAAATTCCTACTCCACTGATGAGACTAGATAAGGATAAAACATGGATACCTATTGATCAATGACGCTATGATTACTATACTATAACTATCTAAAACTGTAATGACTCATCCATGTTCATGTGAACATCACTTAACTACCAGTAGTCGGCTGTTCATAGGCGGGGTATGAATGTTTAACATGGGTGAACTAGATTTGTCACATGCTTAATAAAGAGTGGTTTGAAACATATTGTAAGTCAAAAATTTGGGAATTACCTTTATTCATCGTCGCTTCCACTTACATCTGACAGTAATAAACTGTCGCTATCGCTTTTCTCGTTGAAATTGACTATAACTGGCTCTATGATGGTGTCGATGTGGTGGTCAAGCTGCCACATTTTTGTTTCTTCCTTCACAACATGACGGATAGCATTCTGCCAAGCTTCGGGCGTTACTAGCTGTATGGAAGTCTCAAGTAAAACGTTAATGTCTGGTAATTTGAAGGTTGTGTTATGGCGCGCAATATAACCCTTCACTTGAGCCCAGATGAGCTCTATTGGGTTCAGTTCACAGTGGTAGGGCGGTAACCGTAGCACAGTGACACCACATTGACGGGCCATCTCATCAGTCACGTAACTAATGTTCGCAGGTTTGTGCTGTTTAATTTTTTCATACAATTCCGCTTTCACACATGAATCGTCAAACGGGTTTCTTTTTTCGCTCAACCATTGCTGCATGTCACTTTTTCGAGATCCCATAGTCGGTACACGTTCGGCTCGACGACTATGGTAGGAAGCATTATCCATGACGATCACAGAGTTGGGCTCAACTCGCTGAAGCACCCCTTGAAACCAGCTCTCGAAGCAGCTGGCATTCATTTCGTCATGGTAATCACCTCCTTTCTTAGAGACGAAAATCAAGTCACACTCTTCTAAAAAGCCACTATCGCTACCAATATGTTTACGATCAATCTTTGACCTTTCCCTGACGGTCCACGAAGACCTGTTGACAAACCTTCAATGCTTGCTTGTCGGTTACTCACTACGTTTTTGTCTATCCAGGTTTTTTTAACTGTGTGAACTGCATTTACCCATATCTCGTCCAAATAATAGATTTTTCTGCTTTGTCGCCTATATTCAATCATTTCGCGTAGGTATTTTCGACGCCAGGCGACTATTTCAGGTCTCTCTATCAATACTGACTTCCGATTACGCGTTTCGTAACGAAAATTAATTTCGTGCAGGGATTTCCTCATTACCTCGACGCTCATTTGGGGTATAATTTCATTTTCCTTGATCGCTGCATGTACAGCCTTGAGGGTTGGTATCTCATTCCTAAAGAAGAATGAATGTACGGTTCGACGCCTATGAGTCTGCCGGTCGAGGCGCGTCTTTGATTTCATTGGTTCTACCGGCGGAGAACAATCAGCCATTATTTCCATCTCTGTCTGTGCTGTTGACCACCGCAAAGCCACAGAAACGACATATGTCGTACGCTATACGGCTGTACTGGAAGGAAGCCGGGATCGAGCTCTGATCACGTGTTGATCACCAAGTTCTGGTATTTTGAAACTAGAATGGGATCAGAGCTTTTCATACAGATATTACCTCAGATAACCATTGTTTGTCCAAAAGGACATTTTCAGGATAATAAAAAAATTTAATCTATGTTTCAAGAGAGTCAGTGGCGTAGAGAACATTTTTCTTTTTTCTTCAATTTTTACGTCTCTGGTGTAATTACAGGCACGATAATTTTTTTGTATATACTGACTATGTTGGCACGAGATGTGTGTACAAAATTTTAACGCATTTTCCTAATCCACTCTAAGTTTTTTTTTTTTCGATTTAGAAATTATATAACTTCAGCACTATGTGTCCCCCTACCTTCAGGGGGCATCTCAGGACACATCTTTATATAAATCATCTGTGTTATTCTATGATATAGCTTCTGTTCTACAAATGACGATGTTTTCTGATACCATGTATGCCGACTTTTCAGTGGAGACTTCAATGGATAGTTATAACAGAAACCTCCTTAGTACCTACATATCGATGGAGACTTCAATGATTGATCAGAACAGAAACCTCGCAAAACACCGATAAACCCACTCTCTTACACTGCCAGTTTGACAAAAATACACATTTTTACATATTAATACAAATTTCAGATTCATTTTGGATAAAACCTCATGAAATGCACAGACAAACTTTTTTGTATGCGTTATTTATGCTGTTCGTAGCATGTGTAAAAAATTTTAAGTCTTTATCAGTTCGGAAAATACAGAGTCAGTATTTCCAGGAGGGAAAGTATTTACATCCAAAAATAACAAAAAAAGTCCCTATAAGCGTATATCCTAAAATATAATACCTCCAGATGTTGTTTTCGGACAGAACCAGTTTCAACAAGACGACAATGAATATTAATAAAGGTTCGACTATCTCTGGCGATAAATCCATCTGGCTTGCTCACCAGTACAGTCGGCAAGGCCATATGCGTAATGCATTTCCGCCATTTCTGCATTACTAGTATTAACAAGATTGTAAAAACTAAATAATGAAAAAGATGTCACAGCGAACAGATTTGAATAACAGAGACTTGTCAGATGTCAAAAGCCAGTGACATATTTCCCAGAGTAACTAGACATTTATTGCTAAACTGCATTCTTCAGTTATTACATTAATAAAATTTTCTTGGACAATAGAACGGTTTTTATTTTTTTACTCAAAAATGGCGCCTCGAAGGAAAGCAACTCAAGATATGTCATTTGTTTTAAATTGAATGGGGAATTCAAAAATAATTTTTATTTGTCAATAACCATTGGCGTACTATTTTTTTATTAAAAAATATCGAAGCCAATAAAAGTACGCACGTCACTGTTAAAGCTAAAAATTATTTTTGCGTTCAATAATATTAACTTTCACTACGTACTAAATATCAGTGAAATATCTGAAGCAGTTCTGATAATACGAGTATTAATTAATTTCCATTTTTTTCCTAAAACTTCTACACCCCGAGTTTTTTGTAAGGAAACATTTTTGGACCATAGTCTATAAAGCAAACATACATTAATTTTTCATGTAGATTCACACCCTTAAATAATCGCATATCATTAAGGAACACCCTGTATAACTACCTTCAGGGGCATCTAAGGACACATGTTTATATGAATCATCCGTGTTATTTTATGATGTAGTTTATGTTCTATAAGTAACGATGTTTTCTTATTTACCGACTTTTCTGTGGAGACTTTAACGGGTGGTTACAACAGAAACGTCAGTACCGACTTTTCGATGGAGACTTCAATGACCGATCAGAACAGAAACCTCGCAAAAACACCGATAAACCTACTCTCTGATACTGCCAGTCAGACAAAAATACATTTTCACATATTAGTATAAATTCCAGATTCATTTTGGATCAAAACTCCATGAAATGCATAGACGTACGCCAAGAGCTCTGCTACGACAGCTACAACAGAGGGCAATGTCAGAATCCACGGGGTATGAGCATAACAGAGAAAGAATGTTGCTGTTCTAGGGGTTTAGCATGGGGAAGACGTTGTGAAAGGTGTCCAGAAGAGGGAACACGTAAGTAATGTTGCTCAAAATCATTTGACAACCAATCGTTTTCCTAGCTAGAAACATGGCACAAGAAGTATTGCTGCCGTACTTCATAATTTTGCTGCCTGGTTAAGCTTTATGATAGCTTGGTTTAAATATACTAAGTGACATATAAATCCGAACACCCAGTTTAAATGGTTTTATTTTAATAAAATTTTGTATAAGTACTTAATGAAGCATAATAAGTAAATGATAAAAATTTCAAAATGATTGCACTGCTTTAAAGCCCTTTGACCTTTAATAATGTGTGGATGCACCCTGATGTGCTACGCATTCTCCAACGCGCCTAGGCATGCTTCTGATCAGGTGGTCAATATCCTCCTGTGGTATCTCATTCCAGGCAACCACCAACTCCTCTCGAAGTGCTTCTAGAGTCTGAGGAGGACGTTGCAAATTGAGCAATCTCCTACCCATCATATCCCACACGTGCTCAATTGGGGATAAGTCGGGAGATCTTGGTGGCCATGGTAACAATGTGACATCATTATGTTGAAAGAAGTATATTGTGACTCTTGCAACATGTCGTCGGGCATTATCTTGTTGGAAAGTTGGATCTGCCAGGGTGTCAAGATAGGGTAAAAGATGGGGTTCTAGAACTTCGTGGATATAACGCTGCCCATTCATGTTACCTCTGATGAAGATTAAAGGTGACCTGGAACCATAAGCTATAGCACCCCAAACCATAACTCCAACAGTGTGATCAACATGTCTTTCAACAAAAACCTGTGGATTCCTCCTTTCACCACGTCGCTTTCTAACTTCTAACCCTGGCACGACCATCGTGCATGCCTAAACAAAATCGTGACTCGTCACTAAACACAATACTGTTCCATTCCTGATCCCAGAGTGACCGTTGTCTGCACCACTCAAGGCGATTACGTCGGTGTTCTCGAGTTAAAGGGAGGACCCAGTGTGGCCGGTATGAAAACAAGCCAAAACTTCTCATTCGTCGGTAAACACTTCGCATGCCAATAGGTCTTCCGTGTTCTGCAAACCATTCATTTGCAATGGACCTGGTAGTGGAGAAACGGTCCCTTAAGGCTAATAATCTTAGGCGGCGATCTTCACGGTCTGTTGTTCTACGGCGGCGTCCAGTGCCTCTTGCTCTTTGCGTACGGCCTTCTCGAAGCCATGCCTGACAACACCTAACCACAGTGTCTACACTTCTTTGCACTCTAACTGCAATTGCCCGAAAAGAAAGTCCAGCTTCCCGAAGTCCCACTAGACGGCCCCTATCAAACTCACTAAGTTGACGAAATCGAACAGGTCTCCGTACTAGAACCAAAATCCGCCAACGTTGATTCTTTACTGCGGCTGAAATATTCATTTTTAGAGCGTTAGTGAATTAAAAAAAAGCAGTATAAAAACCGGAATGTCCAACTGATAAGGCTGAAAATTTTTTCACTTGTTATTTACAGTAAGATAAATACATTCACCAACTTTTATTAAAATAAAACCATTTAAACTGGGTGTTCGGATTTATATGTCACTTAGTTTACTGTTCAGAACAGCGACGTCAAAGGTTTGTATAGCCATGATAGTTGTCAACTTTATTAGAACAGATGGAAGATGAAGAAACTTTTTAGGCAATAGTAGATTTTTATAGATACCACTAATATTTATTATAAAATGTTGCCAGTAAAATTCCATGGTGGATTCAGCATGTAGAAATATTAAAAAAGTGGAGATAAACATAAGTCAGTAAATTCCCCGTTTCCATGATACTTATCCTTAATGGAAAATTGTAGGCTACTTCAAAAATTAGTGTCGTTCTCGCAAATCTGGTTTTGCTTGAAAAGTGTCTTTTGGACTTTATCATTATATTTTTCAAGAAAGTGCTAGCTCGATTACCATCTTTCAATAACGATTGATAAAATCTTTTATTTTTCTAAAATGGTGCATCTGAATGAGAAACTCAGACAATTTGCAAGTAGAATCAGTGGCAGTGGCGTATAAAAAGAGGGGACAATTGGACAATTCTTAAGTGAGTTCTTATTTTTACGTAGATTTCGTAATGGATGAGTCCAAAAACATTGTGAAAGCATCTGATCTATGCGTCATTTATATTTTTAAACTCGTGTTTTATGTTTGTCAATTGTAATGTTTTGGAACTGAATGGAATATTTTAACAGTTATAAGGTGTTTGTCAGGTCCAAAACATTAATTCCAGTTAAGGACCCAGAAAAACGGTCATTTTTTCTTTTTTGTCTCGCTTTGTGATTCTAAATCGATAGGTTTGTGTGAAAAATTTTGTGTGTCATCTTTCCAAGTTCGTGGATGGTAGCCACAAGTGTTTCAAGCCTGCTTTTAAAGCTTTAATAGTCATTTCGTATCGTGTGGAGCTATATACTCGTACATAAATGTTTATAAATTAATTAGTCCTTGGCGATTTTTTTAATGAAGCTTTTTAGCAATTTTTCTCCCAACATTTTTTGAAAAGTACTGAAAAATACATTAAATTATTCTCCCTCAGCATGAAAGACCACTAGGTATTTTCTTACAAAAAGCACGCAACCTTTTATTTTTTAAAACCGACTAATTCTAGAAGTCTAATAAGATCCATAAAAGTTGTAGGTACCTATTGTTTTCACTGTACAAATTGAAAATGTAAAACTGTATAAATTCGCTCGGGTAAGCACAAAAAACCTGATTACTGGTCTTAAGGGGCAAAATGGCATTCCTTTCAATACGTGTTTTGGCCCATCGCGCGAAACGTCAAATTGGCAATTGAAGGTTTAAATATTTCTCTGAATTATGTTGACCATTTATACCCATACGCATTAACAACCCTCGCGAAACCAAGTTTTATATACGCCACTGAGTAGAATTGATATTACTTGAAGGTACTGATATTTTTTACAAACACCAGTGGCGTTCCGCTGTTTCGATAGACAGATACTTGCTGGCACGAACCTAAGTTCTTTTTAACAACAATTATACCGAAACCTACCTTAATATGTTTTTGAGAAATGTGGTGTGAGCTGTCAAAGACGGTCAAGTTACCAGGGAAGCAAATCATTTACTAATCTGTTTGTCCATTATTTTTTCTATATTTCAACATGCTGAATTTGGCCTACAATTTTGGTGTCACATACTGTAACACCCTGTCACTCAATATACAGCTGCTTTCCTGAAGATGTGCCCTGAGGGTTGGGGCCGCAAGGACACCGGAAGTGACTTGAACGAATGCGAGCTCATGGGTGAAGACGCTTGCGATGGTGGTGAATGTGTCAACACCGATGGTTCCTATAGGTGCGACTGTCCTCCGGGATATGTTTTGGACGCTACAGGAAGAAAATGTCAGGATGAGGACGAATGTAGGCACCAACCGCAGATATGCGGGAATGGAACCTGTGGTAATGTCGTTGGAGGGTTCGAGTGTAGCTGCAATGAAGGCTTTGCACCAGGACCTATGCAGGTAAGGTAGTACTATGCGCGCAAGGTTTCCAGATCTACGGTAATTTCCTTGTATTTGGAGAATTTTCGAATGATGTGGGGACTTGGGGTAAAGCTTTCCTACATCGTCGATTCTTCAAAATATCGAGAATCTTTTTGAATTTCATAAGAATTAAGACGTTGTCAACTTTACGTTCAGTCGTCAAAACCCAGAAGGGATAGCGTAAAAGTCCATAGTGTCTGAAAAATATGTAAATTATTTCTATACTTTCAGGTCTGTGAAGATATAAATGAATGCCTTGAAATTGGGAACCAGTGTGCTTTTAGGTGCCATAATGTTCCAGGATCATTTAGATGCATTTGTCCGTATGGCTATGCTCTGGCTCCTGACGGGCGACATTGCACAGGTAAATAGTTTTCAGAGGACTCCTATCGCAGAGATCAAAGGTCAAAACTACCGAAAACGAAATAAATATTTCGATAATCTTGAGACTATCAGGTAACCAAATAAGTTCGTGCGGTTGCTGTATATCGCACATGGCCATGGATGTTGTTGATCGATGGCGATTGGTTGTTACCTGTTGTCACTTTAGTATGAATCCTTCTTTTCTCACACACATAAAAAGTTGCTGAAAATTGTTACATACCTAATTTTAATAATTGAAAGTGGCGAAGCCTAAAACAGTAATTCGAAGTTGTTTACTGTATCAGTGCAAACTTGGTACAAAAGCTGCAGCAGCGGCGCGAAAAATATGTGCTGCATTCGGAGATGATGCCGTTAGTAATCGAACAGCACAGAAGTGGTTAAAAAAAAATTTCTTCGGGAGATCTCAGTTTGAACGATGAACCACGCTCAGGGCAACGTGCTAAGAAAATGCAGAAATGTTCAGAGTGAGTCCTGAAACTATTCGTTTTCATATTCATCAGCTAGGAAAGAGATGGAAGTTAAGCAAATGGGTCCCACATGAACTGACAAATGATAACAAATTAACTTGTCTTCCATTTGTTCAGCAAACATTTCACACAACGCTAGTTATCCATTTCTTAATCGGTTATTAACCTGCAAAGAAAAATGGATCTTGTATTCGAATTATAAGCGTTCGTATCATTGGGTGTTGCCTACTGATTCGGTACCACACACGCCCAAGCCTTCCTTGCATCCAAACAAGGTTTTGTTATGTGTTTGATGGACAGCAACTGGAATTGTCCATTATGAGTTTTTGGAAACCATCACTGCTAACTTGTATTGGGAGCACCTTCAACGAGTACAAGCAGCACTAATCCAGAAACAGCCTCCTTTGATCAATCGAAAGAAAGTGATATTCTTGCAGGATAATGCCAAGCCTCATACCGCAAAAGTGACCAGAGAAAAAATGTCTGAACTCGGCTGGGAAACTTTACCGCACCAACCATATTCTCCCGACATTTCGCCCAGTGATTATCACCTTTTTTGTCTCTTGAAAACTGTATGAGGCACCGACAGTTCACAACTCGAGATGGTGTAATAAATGCAGTCCGCCTATTTTTTGACTCCAAATCCAGGGAGTTCTACAATACCTGCATACCAAAATTTTTTCCAAGTTAGCAAAAGCCTATTGAATATGATGGTAATTACTTCGACGAATAAATAGTGTCCTATTGTTTCTCAATAAAAATTTATATTTTTCTACTAAAAACCGCACGAACTTATTTGGTTACCTCATATATAAAAAATATGAAATAAAGGCAACATCAAAACATACACGGCGTTTTGACGTTCCTATTCAAACTTCTTGATCATAAAACCAAATTGCAACTAGTTTTTCGAGAACATTGACATTCTTCTTCAACTTTGCTACCATTTTCCTTGTGCAGATGTGGATGAATGCAGTACGCCGGCCAATAACTGCAAGTTCATGTGCAAGAACCTGATAGGTTCCTTTATGTGTATCTGTCCGGAAGGGTACCACCAAGTAGAGTACAGCGATGACTGCAGGGATATCGATGAATGTCAAGAGAACCCGAACATCTGTCAAAATGGCCACTGCATCAATCTGCAAGGTTCTTATAGGTGTGACTGTTACGAAGGATTCGAACATACTCCTGACAGAAAACGATGCATCGGTGAGTAAAAGACAAGGTTGATCTCAGTTTATTTCGATTTCAAGCATAACAATCATGACCAGAGGTTGAAACAAACAAAAAATATATCGATACAGGTCGTGACCAAAAATGAAACATCAGTTACAAGAAAGAATAGATAAAGCGTTTCATCAAATTCAAACATCAACAGACTTTGCGCAAATATGTTTTTCTTTATTAAAACATGCTGCACTCGTATTCGTCAGAATAGTGGTCTTTTTGAACATTTATTGAAATAAAGCGTTGATTATTTAATGTTTTATTTTTATTCTTACGAAAACAGTGCACTCTAGAAAAAACACAAGAGTAATTATTTCTGGAAAATTGGAAGTAAAATGCGAAAAATTGCACGTACTATTGTTATTTGAAAAAAATATGCCACTCATCCCCTATATCTCCGCCACTCGTGCACGTTAAATTATAATAAAGTTCACGGTTTTGAAGATATAAAAAAAAATTTTTTTATTCTTAAACTTCAACATTGAATATTGAAGCCCTCTTAAGAAAAAAATTTACATAGAATACCCCCTTAAAATACGGTCCTGTGTATGATGCTTTATTGTTAGTCACGACTTGCGAATCACCCTGTAAATGTTTCGAGACCATTGTGATATTAGTATTACTACATTTATATTTCTGTTAGTTTTAGTAGAGGATAAACTGGTTAGTTATCAGTCTGGGGGTCGTATGTTTGACTAATGACCCTGAAATTACTTGTATTTGATTTAATTGGGGCCTAAATAAATACAATATTTTCTTCTATCAAGTCACCGTAGTTTCGGAAAAAAACTAAAAAACCATCTTTTAATTATTCATGTTGTATAATGTTTTTCTTTAACTAAGATAAGTAGTCACATTATTTTTTATCTAAGTTGTTAATTAATGTGAATATAAAGTTAATGTTTACAATTTTTTTTAAAGCACTGTAAACCGATCATTTTGTAACCGATTCGATTGCCGTGTTTACAATCTGATTGTCAATAACATAAAATCAAAGGCTCAATATGAATGAGAAGAGTGTACTTTAGCGCACTTGAATGTTCGGTCACTATTCACAGGTTTCTATGATCTAAAAATGGTGTTTTTTGACAGCAGTATTGATACTCTTGCTGTATCAGAAACTTGGCTGTCTAGTGATGTGCCAGATGAATCAGTAGCAATAGATGCTTATTTAATTTTTAGGCGTGATCGCCCGTCTCGCGGGGGAGGGGTCGCATTCTACGTGGAAAATGATTTGAGATGTACACTCTTAGGCATAAATATTGGTATGTTACAATCTGATTGTTATGAAAGTCTGTTTATCTCGGTTGCCATAATAGTTTCAAACTTGCTGTTGGAGTATATTATCGTCCTCCTAACAAGCATTTCTCTGCCTGCAACCAAAATTTGGATCAAACTTTGCCGCGACTGCAACTTGACCTTGATCATACAGGGTGTTTCAGTTTATTGTTGCATAACTTTAAGATTCGATAGAACTTTTAAAATTAATGTATAAAGTCTATATAAACATGGGTCGAAAAATGCGTGGCTTCCGAAATACAGGGTGTTTAAATTTACTTTCTAAAATAGTTTTTTTTAAATATTTCGAACAATATTTGATGTATAACAGTGAAAATTGGTATACAAGGGTTTTTTGGTACGACAGAACGAACCATGGGCATAGTTTTACTGTAGCATCTAGAGGGCGCTCTCTACTGTACCTGTAGTGAATTAAAATGACCGAAAATTTTTTCTTAGTGCAATTTTTTGCTTTTTGAATAAAAAACTGATTCTTCGCACTTTTCAACATAAAAAAGCTCTACTGAGAGTTTTCGTTATAGTTAGCCGTTTTTGAGATATTTCCATTTTTAAGGTTCGATGCATTTTTAATTATTTATTTTAAGAAAATAATATTTTTTTTACATTTTAGATTTAGGCATTACAAGTAATTAAGATAATCGTTTAGATTGTGTGTTTTTAAACACAGCAATAATTCCCAACTCCAAATAAACACAAAAAAACAGAATATTAATTTGTTTAATTCTCCAATAAATTAAATTAATTATTTACAACTAAAATGCTATTGGATAGTTAGGACAAACATACAAAATCTAAAGTAGTTGCTCGAAATGTAAACCCAATTGTTCAATACACAATTCACATCTGCGGATGATCGAACGTGGTATAGCATTATTCAAATAAGGCCTTATTTCATCACATGCATTCCTGATTCTGTCTATTAGCATATCTCTTGTGGTTACGGGAGTCTGGTACACTTTTTCTTTTAGAAATCCTCACACAAAGAAATCTAATGGATTTAGGTCAGGGGATCGTGGAGGCCAGGCGACTGGTCCTCCACGGCCGATCCATCTTTCTGGATAATTTTCGTCCAGCCAGTTTCTAACTATCCTCGAATAATGAGCTGGACAATCATCAAGCTGGAACCAGGCCAATTGTCTTAAATCTAACATAACATCATCCCACATATTTGCATGTTCAGCCTTTAAAAATTCCAAGAAGGTCGCAGCATTTAACCTTGCAGGCAAAAGGTAGTGTCCAAATAGTCGATTACGGTAGATACCAATCCACACGTTCACACTAAATTCATGCCGAAAATTTCTTTCCCGAACTGCATGTGGATTTTCATGCTACCAAATATGTTGATTATGAAAATTTACCGCTCCACGTCTAGTGAAGCATGACTCATCGGTCCATAAAACGTTACTTAAAAACTCCCTATTATTATCAGTTCTATCAAGAATCCACTGAAAAAATGTGATTCTTCGTTTTCCGTCCCCTGGCTGTAGTACTGGCACAGGTTGCAAATGGTAAGGACGTCTATGGTCATTTCTAAGAACACAGTGAACATGGCTTGCTGAAATTCCCAAGGCACCAATCTCTATCAAACTCACGCAGAATCATACGGGTAAATCTGCGCTGACGAACATTTATGTTTTGATCCCTTTGGAGATTTCCAAAACCATTTTCAATTATTTGGCGATGCACTCTTACAAATACTGAGCGAGTTGGATGTCGTCTGTTTGGAAATCTTGACTGACTATGTTACATTATTGTTCGACATTCATGCTCCTAAAATTACCGTCAGAGCTAGCAGGCTGCCAGCTCCCTGGCTTACAGATAATCTTAAACTGATTTTCAAGGATAGGGACAGGTCCATTACACACTTACAAGTTGAATAGAACCGAAGAACATCTTAGGCACTACAAAGAGATGAGGAACTTTACATTGATGGCAATGAGAACAGAAAAACGTGCATATCTTAACTATCTGCATTCTCAGAGATATAATAGGCAATTTTGGAAAACTCTGAAAAACATTAATTTGAATTTTCACTTTCGCCATCCTTAAGCGATCCTAATGAAATAAACAGGTTCTTCATATACTGAAAACAATGAATCTAATGCTCTTTTTACCAAATATTACTCCAGCAAAATCAGTTATTCCAGCTTCACATTAAGCTTTGTAGACCAAAGTACTGTACTGGAGCGTATATCGAAGATAAGATCAAATGCATGTGGTCCTGACGGCACAACCTTGTGTATGCTCAAGCTTTGTATATCAGAGTTATTAAATCAATTGACACACATTGAAAACTGTTGCTTAGGGAAACGATATTGTCCTCGACTTTGGAGGGAGGCTGTAGTATGTCCTTTACCTAAGATCCCTGCTCCAACTGAGCTTGCTCATTTGAGACCTATTAGTTTACTATGCATTCCATCCAAACTGTTAGAAAAAATAGTTAACGTACAGCTAAATCAGTATTCAATAGATCAAAACATTCTGCCTAAGCACCAGTCTGGTTTTAGGGGAGGGCCTAATACAACCACCGCTCTTTTAAATCTCAATGATGAAATTATACAGTCGCTAGATAAGAGGCTTGCCACTCCACTTATATCCTTGGATTTTTCAAAAGCCTTTGACACCATTATATAGCACGTTTATATTAACGACTACACTTGCTCTTTTTATTCGCTCCAACACAGACACGAAATATTGGTAAAGACCACACATAAAAATATCAACCAAGGATCACCGGGAAGATTAACGAAATATATATCGCCACACCTGTTTGCAGCTGCAGATCCCACATGGAAGAGATTGCACAAAATTAATTCTGGAAATACTTTTTTGACTTCTAATGTCAAAAATTAGGTCAAGCTAAAAAAAGGTTTTTAGGAGATTCCTGAATCTTTAGTTTGAATATGGAGGAAAACTCTAAAAAGGATGGAGCTGGTGAGGAAGTGGAGAGTGTGGGCTCAATGAGTGAAAAGGGATTTTGTACAGAGGAAGTTTTGAAACTAAAAGATTATACCATTTCGATTCAAGAGAAATTAATAAAATAATTGTACGAAAAGATAGACCAATTAAACAAAAAAATTGGGAAAATGCAACAGCCGTCACAAGAAGCAATTACAACTTACGCTAATATGGTTAAAGCTTCAGGGCCTTCAACCGTTAATTCGCCTACAAAAATGGTAGAATATAAGCAGCAATGCGTACCATTACAAACATGTACAGCAAAAAAACAATCACCAGTATTAAAATCCACAAATACAGTCATTGTTAAGCCTAATAACCAACAAGAGTGTAATAACACAAAGAAAGACATCGCAACATTTGTGAATCCTACCAGTTTGAAAATTGCTATTGAAAAAGTTTATGAATTGAAAGATGGTGGGGTGAAAATCCAATGTAAAACAAAAGATGATAACGCGAAGCTACATAATGAAATAAAATCAAAAATGCCAGAAACATATACAGTGAAAACTTCAGAGATAAGTAAAAAACCACAAATCAAAGTTATTGGATTTTGTCAAGAATATGCAGAAGACGAGCTAATAAATACTATAAAATCACAAAATGAATCTTTTCAAGAAAATTCACATATGAGAGTAATTACAGTCAAGAAAATGAAAACTAAATATCAAGCAATTTTAGAAGTGGATGCTGTGACTTTTAAGTATGTTATGAATCAGGGTGTTATTTTTATCGACATGTCTGTTTGCTCTGTTTTCGAGTACATCAATGTTTTGCGATGCTATAAATGTACCGGATTTAACCACACAGCTAAATACTGCACAAAATCAGGAAAATGTCTTACTTGTGGATTAGAAGGACATTCAACAGAAAACTGTAGTACCAGTGAAATGTACAAATGCTGTCCAAATTGTAAAAGTGCAAACCAGGATTTTAATTTAGGATTACCTATTAATCATGGACCATTTGACAAAAATAGTGAAGTATATAAAAGGAAAATTGAACGTGAGAGGGAAAAAATTAATTATGCAAATGAATAGCAACTACTAAGCTCAGATTTGCAAGACGTGGCTAAATCTGTAAGTGATGAATATAACTCAATATACCATTTAAACATACAAGGAGTCCTGAATAATATAGATGAAGTTCAACAGTTTTTAAGATGGAGAAAACCACTTGTATTATGTCTTACCGAAACACATGCTACAGAAGACATCACTGATGGTGAATTACAAATTACTAATTATAAAACCTACAGATGCAACTCCAACTCCAGACATACTGGAGGTGTAGTGATTTATGTTTACCACAAAATACAGATCACATTATTCGATTGTACCACTTTAGACTATGCATACTGGTATGCACATATACAGTTCAAATTATTTGGGAAACGTTATGATCTTTGTACTTTTTACCGTTCACCAAACAGTGATGCAGATACATTTTTAACGTTTTTTGAAGAAAAATGCGAAGAAATGTGAAATTTTAGAAACAATATAATACTTTTAGGTGATTTTAATTTAAATTATTATGGTAAAAGCATGAAAACAAAAAAATTGAAAGAAACCATAAACGACTATGGGTTCAAGCAAAAAATTGAAGAGAGTACCAGAATAACATCATTATCAGATACTGTTAGATCTTGTTATTGTAAATTTCGAATGTGCAGGGATTAAAGCTGTACATACACCTAAAGTTAGCGATCACAGTTGGACAATTCTGCCCTTGGTAGGGCATTTTTCTGATACAAAAATTAAGAAAATCGTAAATACTATTAAGTACGAAAAACTTGAACGAGAACTTGCTGGCTGCTATTGGAATTTTGGTGAGAATATGGAAAAAATATATGACAACATAATAGGAAATATAAAAACTTGTTTAGAAAAAATACACCCTGGTATAACAAGAATATTAAGACAGTTCAAAATTTGAGAGACAAACAATAGAATAAATGTATATTCACAAAATCACATGATGATTGGGAGGTATATAAAAGAAGGAATAAATGTGTATATGTAATTAGAGAAGAAAAAAGAAAATTCTACGATAAACAAATCGATAATAACAAGTGCGACAGTGTAAAGATGTGTAAGACTTTAAAAAGACTGATCAATTCGAAGCCGCATGATTGTGTAAATCAAGTTCAATTCGAAAACGGTACCGAAACAAATTCTTTGGTGATTGCAAACAAACTAAATGAATATTTTGTGGAAAGTATTGTTGATATTGTAGGTACTGCCAATGCTGCACCTGACTATATGAAAATCAGTTTCCAGGGGGAAATGTTGCATACACTTTCAAAATTTCACAGCGTATCATTGAATTATCTAAGAAAAAAAGTAAACAGTTTAAAATCAAATAACAACTGTGCCGAAATGACTACTAAAAACGTGCTGAAAAACTGTTTCGAAATTTTGGGATATCCTGTATTAAATTGGATCAATTGTTCACTGAGAAGCAGTTCTTTCCCTGAAAATTTGAAATGCTCTACAATAACACCAGTTCCCAAAATAAAAAATTCTAAAAGATGCAGCGATATGAGACCAGTAAATGTGTTACCAGACATTGAAAAATTATTAGAGTCCATAGTGCATGACCAATTAATGCAGTTTATAGAAGAAAACAAAATTTTAGTGGAGGCGCAAGCAGGCTTTCGAAAAAAATATTCCACAGAAACAGCTTTCCAGTTGGTAACTGAGAATTGGAGAAGAGCCATAGACTCAGAAGAAGTTGTCATAGCAGTATTTTTGGATTTGAAGAGGGCATTTGAAACGATTGATAGAGATATTTTGTTAGGTAAATTGAAGGCATATGGTATAACAGGAAGTGTTTTAGATTGGTTTAGAAATTATTTGTCTAAAAGGATGCAAGTTACAAAAGTTAATGATACTATTTCATCAAAAATTGAAAATACGTTGGGTGTTCCACAGGGCAGTATCCTGGGACCACATATTTTTATTTTATACATAAATGATTTACCTGCCATAGTCAAAAAATGCAAAATTCAAATTTTCGCCGATGACACTATGATTTATATAAGTACTAAAAATATTCAGTCTGGTATCTCTTATATAAATGAAGACTTGGAGCTTGTCTCAAAATGGTTAGCATCTAACAGACTAAAATTAAATGCAAGTAAAACGAAAGCCTTGTTAATCGGAAAAAAACAATGTACAAATGTTCAACTGAATATTGATGGTGAAGATATTGAATTCGTAGAAAATTTTAAATACCTGGGAGTTTTTCTTGACTCTCGATTAATTTTTGATATTCATTATGAAAAAGTTATAAATAAGATTAGTAGTAAAGTGGGATATTTATCGAGAGTTTCTGGATGTCTGAGTTCATATAGCAGAAACATTATCTATAATACCATCATTCTTCCAAATTTCTTGTACTGTTCGACTATTCTATATTTAGCAAATAATTCCATTTTTGAAAGACTGCAAATTTTACAAAATAAGTGCATGAGAATAATACTAAATAAAGATAAATATACTCCAATTAGGCAAATGCTTAGCAAATTAAAATGGCTCAATGTAAAAAATTTTATCAAATATCTTGTAATGATATTCATTTATAAAGTAAAAAATAATATATTTCCATCAAGTCTAACTAATTTAACATCATCAAATGTCGACCATCATTTACATAATACCAGAAATAAAGATGACTTCCATTTAATGACCAAAAAGTATAACATATGCTACAAATCTGTATTCCATCAAGGGTTGATTGAATATAATAAATTATACTCGGAGATAAGAGATCAGAAAACTTTGACAAAATTTAAAGTAAAATTGAGAAATCACTTGTTAAATCTACAATTATAGGTTGCCCAGCCCATCATACACCATATGGCTTGAATTTACTAGTTCTAAGTTGTTTACAATTGTTCTGTTTATGTAGCCAAATGTGCTAAATAAATCTTTCTACTACTACTACTACTACTACTACTATTGACCATTCGCTTATGTGCGCAAAACTATCATTATAGCCTTGACCATACAACGTTGAACGTATTTTGCAATTACTTAAGTATTCGTAAGCAAAGCGTTATTCTACATAACAAAAGATCTGAGATAACAACAATAACATCAGCAGGTCCTCAAGGTTCTGTTCTAGGACCGTTGTAATTCATTATATACACAGCTGATATCTTGAAATCCGTACAGTACTCACACATTCAATCTTATGCTGATGACACGCAGCTTCTGTTTCATTTTGAACCATCCCTTGTGGAACAGGCAAATGATTTAATCAACACTGACTTACGAACAGTATCTGACAATTGTAAAGAACACAATTTGAAACTAAATCCTGATAAAACGAAACTTGTGCTTTTCTGTTCTGATCACAAGCGACAAAACTTGAGCAGTGGTCTGACCCTCTTCTTAAATGAACAACAACTTTATTTTTCAACTAGCTGTAAGATACTTGGTTTGATCATAGATGACAAGTTACGTTACCAACAATACATTAAAACAATATCTCAGAGGCGTTATTTGAAACTGCGAGTACCAATAAGTACATTATTAACTGCAAGACGAGACTGAAAGTTTAGTGCTATCAATTATCAGTTATGGTTTGATAGTTTTTTATCCATGCCTGGACTATTCGACTCAAATGCGCCTGCAGAGATTGCAGAATAACTGTTGCCGTTTTGTCTGTAATTTACGTAAATTTGACCACATATCTAATAGCTTCAGGCTTTTACAATGGCTTAATATCAATTCTCTGTTCAAATATTTTTACCTAGCAACATTGAATCGTGCATTATATTCTAAAAATCCTGTATCCCTAGATCAAGTATACATAATGTCACTATGAGACATCAAAACCATTTTACAGTGCCTCATGTATGTAGCGTCACTCTTTTATAGATCTTTCACGTATAATGCAGTGTCTCTCTTTAACATCTATAGCAGGAATATTGATGTATCAAATACTAATAAAATCCGTTTCAAACTGCATCTCAGACAACACCTTCTATATATATATATATATATATATATTATAGAAATTCAGCATAGGATAAATGAATTATCATTATGTTCTTTTTTTAGTTAAATTCACATCATCGTTTACTGTATATGTAAAATACCATTTTTGTATGTCAAATTAGCATTAAGCTTTAGTCTTTAGAAAGGTTGAGTGTAAGAATAGCTGTGCTAAACTCCGCCAATAAAGCCGTTTATTATTATTACCTAAATATTTTTTTTCGGGACGTCGGCGTCGGCAGCTTTATGACAAGTATGTTTCTTTAGGTCCTCAATCCAATTAAATACAAGTAAGGAATTTCTGACAAATAAACATCCATTCACGATATAAACCTCAATTCCATAATGTCCAGAAATCCATATTTTTCAGCCTTTTTGTGTAGCTTTACGAATTACTTAATGAGGTTCAGAATTTTTGTAAACGTATCTTTATCAACTTAATATTATTTTCCAGATAAGAGGCAAGGAATGTGCTATAGACAACTGGTAAATGGAAGATGTAGAACTCCTCACAACGAGTTGAAATTAGCTACTAAAGCTGATTGCTGCTGCACTATTGGAGAAGCTTGGGGACCGCAGTGCGAACTATGCCCATCGAGGTACTCGGCTCAGTACCAAGATCTATGCTTGGATAGCGGATTTTTGATCGATGGAAAAGGTAAGAAAAATGATTACTGTCAAGGCTTATGATTTTTAATTACATAATTCATTCTAATTCCAGATGTCAACGAATGTGAAACGATTCCAGACCTGTGTAAGAACGGCCAGTGTATCAACACTATGGGCTCCTACAGATGTATATGCAACAAAGGGTACAAACCCGATGCCTCTGGGCTCTATTGCTTAGGTACGATTGATCATTTCTTGTTTATAATAGTAATAAAGCTGATGAAAGCTTCATCTAATACTGCGCTCTCTAGATATCAACGAATGCCAGACCAATACATCTCACTGCCAGTACAACTGTCAGAATACAGAAGGCAGCTTCGTATGCTCATGTCCTTCAGGATTCCTGTTGAACCCAGATGGTCTGACATGTAGGGATTTGGACGAATGTACTACCGGTCAACACATTTGCCAACAAAACTGCATCAACACCGAAGGGAGTTACAAGTGTTCTTGTGATAAAGGATATACTCAAGTTGGAGACAACTGCCATGGTAAGAGAAATTATAAATACTTGATTTAAAGACTATTTTGAATATCGTATTCAATATCATTTGCGAACGAGTCTAGTAATCGCGAAACACGTTTTCTGGATGACACACGCCACGAAAAACCATAGCACTCACTTCAGTCGGTCTGTCGTTGCTCCGCACGGGTATCACGTATCTTGAAAAGTGACTTTATTCCGACTTTTTTGTCATTATGCTGTTTTTTTATGACATTATGTAGGTTTTTCTACAAGATGTTAACTTAGCACTTATTTGTACGTGTTGCCTACCCGTCATGAGGCTTGTTATCAATCTTTGGCTCTGATGTGATGTAAAATCTGCTTCTGAGATGGCGTTACTGGAGGTCTAAGCTGTAAGTTGCATATTTTGATGAGAATTACATTGGGTTCTTGTCTCAAATACACTTAATTGAGATTCAAAGCTATAAATTAGTTGCGCATCCACTTTTTCTTATCCATTCTGGAAATTACATATTCCTACAAATTTGCTGAATTTCAAAACTGAGAGAGATAAGAAATAATTATAGTCACTGTACACTGTCGAATTACAAGCCATATACATGCTAACAGTAATTACACACAATGCAGGTGCGGTGATGATTTCCCGTAACTCTCCTCAGTTTTGTGTTATTCAAAACTTTGAACACAACCTCTCTTCAGGAAGCACAACATAAAAATAACCCGTCGGGCACAGCCAATAGATATACTTCATTGGCAGCATATTCAGTAATTAATTAATTAATTAAATAATTCAGTAATATCTCACACTGCAGATATCATTGATTTTATACACATGCAGACCAATACACATAATCATCCAGATGCGATCTTGCATTTCAACCAACTTTCTTCTCAGAGATAAAAGCTACAAACAATGATTATTTGGCCTCACAAAACATATGCAACCAATAATGCGTGTAGTTTAGTTGAGTGATTCCTCCTTAGATGGACGTTCACAGCGATCCTAGTGAGCAAACGTGGAATGACTGTTTGTGCCCTAAAAACTACCTAGTTTGCAAGATGACATCTTATAGGTTTTTCTTTGACGTTTTATAGGTTTTTTACATGATACCCGTGCCGATAACTCTAAGCTCCTCTATAACTGAAAAAGTGCTGCTCAGAAATTGATGAGCTTTTGGAAGGCGACTACTGCCATGCAGAAAAAAGTAACTAATAGATCTCGAAATCGGTTCAGTAACGGTGGAGTTATGAACGGAAAACGGAAAACTCCATAATGTTCCTAAATTTCGTTCTTGGGTTTTTTTGTTTCTGGTCCTTTTTGAGTGTAGTCAAATAAAGTCTTCAATAGGTTCAACAGTTTTATGTTGTTTCACTGATTACGAATAACGCATAGAATATCATGTTATAAAAATGGCATCAAGTAGACTGACTCTGCACTTCCCAAGCAATGACGTAATCAGTTTATAAAGGATTATCTTCAGCACAAGCTAGAGCCTATGAGAAAAAACTTGGTTAGTATAAAAGGGAAATTAAATAGATCAAGTCCGTCAAACAGGCCCCTGCAATGAGTCTCTGTACACCATTTCACTGCCCTATCGGTAGTATCCTCCATCTGGCAATGTCACCCCTCCTCCACACGCGGTACTGCGATAGTGATGGCAGGGCACGCCCGCCGGTGAACCCACAGAGCAGAAGCTAAGCTCCTTATCGAAAACGTGTCTCTATCATTTTAAGGGCAACTGTACGGGGAAATCTATGATGTGTGAAATATTTCTACTAGGTGCGAATTACCGGGTTTAGAGGTGTATACATATATTGACATCAAAAGATTTGCCCTAGCCCCTTTTTTCTAAAAATGATCAGGCGTCTATGAAAGGTAAAAAACAAAGTTTAAGCGGTTACTATTTTTTTTCGTGCAGCTTCGCGGTCACTGGACCAATTTTCAAAAGCAACAAACCCTTTTCATCCTTGGCACAGCAGTAACCTTGTGTGTAATTTTTATCAAAATCCGTGCGGTACTTCCCGAGTTATTGACGGGCCATGGATTAGCGGACAGAGCGACAGAAAGACCGACAGACATGAAATACATACTTTTCGTGATATAAAAAACATATCTAATTTACGAAATTTTTCACGACTATAATACATATAGGCGTGGTAAGTAAAAGGAGTATTGAGTCAACCCTCTAATAATTTCTTTTTCAGATATCAACGAATGCGAAGAAGCAGGAGTGTGTCCAAAACCGGGAAGATGCGTCAATACTTTGGGTAGCTTCAAGTGTATCTGTCCAAGGGGATTCAAACTGGATTCGTCTGGCACTTATTGCCTTGACGCAGATGAATGTCAAGATGACACCAAATGTGCCGAAGGATGCCAAAATCTTATTGGTGGATACAGGTAAATATATTTTGGATTATATACAGGGTGTTCCTTAATGATATGCGAATATTTAAGGGTGTGAATCTATAAAGTAGAAATCACATATCTTTTTATTCACGTCACAAAAAGCCACGATTGGTGGTCGACTTACGTAAAATGGCAAGTCACATAAATTTAATGTGCTAGAAAATGAAGAAGATATATTAGCATGTCTCACCGACTACAAATATGTCTACATGGTTGCCGCTTATGCACAGGCTTATTTTGTCGAATTCACAAGTTTACGGCATGTCGTAAATAATATCATATCGTCATTTTGACGTTCAACTATGAGGTTAAAAATACCACAATACAGGAAACATGATATTCTAAGTGACATATAAATCCGAACACCCAGTTTAAATGGTTTTATTTTAATAAAATTTTGTATAAGCACTTAATGAAGCATAATAAGTAAATGATAAAAATTTCAAAATGATTGCACTGCTTTAAAGCCCTTTGACCTTTAATAATGTGTGGATGCACCCTGATGTGCTACGCATTCTCCAATGCGCCTAGGCATGCTTCTGATCAGGTGGTCAATGTCCTCCTGTAGTATCTCATTCCAGGCAACCACCAACTCCTCTCGAAGTGCTTCTAGAGTCTGAGGAGGACTTTGCAAATTGAGCAATCTCCTACCCATCATATCCCATACGTGCTCAATTGGGGATAAGTCGGGAGATCTTGGTGGCCATGGTAACAATGTGACATCATTATGTTGAAATGTGACTCTTGCAACATGTGGTCGGGCATTATCTTGTTGGAAAGTTGGATCTGTCAGGGTGTCAAGATAGGGTAAAAGATGGGGTTCTAGAGCTTCGTGGATATAACGCTGCACGTTTATGTTACCTCTGATGAAGATTAAAGGTGACCTGGAACCATAAGCTATAGCACCCCAAACCATAACTCCAACAGTGTGATGAACATGTCCTTCAACAAAAAACTGTGGATTCCTCCTTTCACCACGTCGCCTTCTAACCCTGGTACGACCATCGTGCATGCCTAAACAAAATCGAGACTCGTCACTAAAGACAATACTGTTCCATTCCTGATCCCAGAGTGACCGTTGTCTGCACCACTCAAGGCGATTACGTCGGTGTTCTCGAGTTAAAGGGAGGACCCTGTGTGGCCGGTATGAAAACAAGCCAAAACTTCTCATTCGACGGTAAACACTTCGCATGCCAATAGGTCTTCCGTGTTCTGCAAACCATTCATTTGCAATGGACCTGCTAGTGGAGAAACGGTCCCTTAAGGCCAATAATCTTAGGCGGCGATCTTCACGGTCTGTTGTTCTACGGCGGCGTCCAGTGCCCCTTGCTCTTTGCGTACGGCCTTCTCGAAGCCATGCCTAACAACACCTAACACACACTTCTTTGCACTCTAACTGCAATTGCCCGAAAAGAAAGTCCAGCTTCCCGAAGTCCCATTATACGGCCCCTATCAAACTCACTAAGTTGACGAAATCGTACAGGTCTCTGTACTCTAGGCATCGTAACCGATCGTACAGGATGTCAGGAACCAAAATCCGCCAACGTTGATTCTTTACTGCGGCTGAAATATTCATTTTTAGAGCGTTAGTGAATTAAAAAAAAGCAGTATAAAAACCGGAATGTCCAACTGATAAGGCCGAACATTTTTCACTTGTTATTTACAGTAAGATAAATACATTCACCAACTTTTATTAAAATAAAACCATTTAAACTGGGTGTTCGGATTTATATGTCACTTAGTATATTAGGATACCACTGGATGTTTCCCATTTGACATGACAGTTCATATTGGCAAAGCCTATCTTCTGTAATGTGTTCCGCAGTATTTCAATACCGACTTATCTCCGACTTACCTCAATACGTAATTTTTCCGTCACTCTCAACTTACATGCTATGCAGAGAGAATGAGAAAGATGACGAATGCTGAGAATTCCTACGACATACCAATTTTGAAGATGTATGGCATCACTGATGATTTGAAGCCTATGACGTGCATTAAAAGTTATGTGACTCGAACAAAAATTAATGGTAGTTTGCTTTATAAACTATGATCCAAAAATGTTTCCTTACAAAAACTCGGGGTGTTGAAGTTTTAGGAAAAAAGTGGAAATCAATATTTTCAGAACCGCTTCAGATATTTCACTGATATTTAGTACGTAGTGAAAGTTAACAAAGCTGCATATTTTTCAATGCAAAAATAATTTTTAGCATTAACAGTGGCGTGCGTACGGGTATTGACTTCGATATTTTTTTAGAAAAAAATGGTGCGCCAACGGGTTTTTGACAAATAAAAATTATTTTTGAATTCCCAGTTCAATTTAAAATAAATGATATTTCTTGAATTATTTTCTTTTGATGCGTCATTCTTGAGTAAAAAAATAAAAACTTTTCTATTGTCTAACTTGCAAAATTGGAAAATTAAACACATTAGGGGTAATGAACAACACCAACTGACAACATAGACATAACATTACAACCAACGAAATGATTACAAAAATTGCTGAAAATGCCCCCCTTCACTTAGAGTATTTTTGAAGCTATCACAAGCTGCAACTATTCTTTCTCTTAATTCATCTACAGTGCTAATGGGACTTGTGTACATTAGTGTCTTAAGATAGCCCCACAAAGAGAAATCTAAACTGTTGAGGTCTGGGGACCTTGGTGCCCATACTTGGGGCCCACCGCTAACTAACATTAATTTTTCATGTAGATTTACACCCTTAGATATTCGCATATCATTAAGGAACAGCCTGTATATTATCCAACACCTGAGTCAGAGGAGAGGTAAAAAGGGGATGAAAGATATCGTATACACGCATCAGATCGGTACCAGAACAAATAGATCGCATCGCTGGAGCTCGTTTAGTCAATAATCAGTTACTGAAGTCGAGCTATTCAAAAAAGACATTAAACCAAAGCAACAACCAGCCATGTTCAGTGCGTGATAAGCACGTTGATTTATTCCAAGAAACCAGAAGACTAATTGTTATTGGATAATTGGTCGAATCCATATACAGGACCAATGCCAATCCAGGATGCTGCCATGTTACATGAAAGTCTACGAAGAATTATAGATCTCTAATAATACTTGGCAAAAGAATGCGTAGCAACATGTTTTCAGATCCAAGAAAATAAACGCTTCAAATTAGCATAATAAAAAAGGTTTATTTGCTGTCGTTTGCAGTATCGCAAAAATTAATCCAGTTTTTATCATAGATGATGATATATCCGAAATTTGAAGTTTTCAGCGATATCTGACCTTCCCGTCGGACGTAGCGCTTATTTATTTGGAACATAAACAGAAAGATATTTCTCCATAAAACAAATAAATTGATCTGTCAAAATATAAATGAAATGCACATGACACCCGCTATCCATGAATATGCAGCAATAGCGTCGAGATTTTTTGTTGTTCCACTGGCGTGCTGCACTTTGAGTAATAAAAGAGTTGGACGCTGAGTATGCATGTTTTCAAAGCAGTCACTCTATTGGCGTTGTTATAAGAAGGATGGCTCTTGTGGGGCATGCTTTCTACTGATCATTGTTTAGCTAATAAACAGTTGCAACTTGGATAAAAAGACACAAGGTCCAAGGGAATGTTTTTTGAAAAAAAATATGACAGTGGGTTCATTGAATAAAGTAAATACTCGTTGCACAATTAGTATATTCGTGCCTTATGCAAGGAATCTATCTAAATAAGGAGTAACATTCCAAATAGTATTAATAACAGTTAGTATTAGTACGATCTATCCAAGAAAGACATTAAACCAAAACAACAACCAGCTGTGTTCAGTGCGGTATCAGCAAGTTGATATACAGGGTGCGGCAGAGAGGATGGACGGTTTTTAAAAAAAATCATAAAATAGTTAATTTTTACTCGAAAACAAATTTATTGATGGAATCAGGTTCACAAGGAAATAGCATTTGAGACAGTCAAGTGTGGAAAATCACATCAGGCATGCGGTGGCCGAAATCGTTGATGCAGTGCTGGACGCGTTCTTGGAAATTCGCGTAGACTCTCTCCAACATCGCTCTCTCAACTTGGGCGACTTCCACGCGAATTTCGCCCTTCAATTCGTCCAGAGTTCGGGGATTGTGGCTTGTGAAAGTGGGCTTCGTCACTCATAAACAAAATGAGGTTCTCATTTTGATCGATCAGTGCTTCCATCTCACGTGCGAAGTTCATTCGTTGTGCATAATCTCTGGGCTATAACTGTTGTACAATGGCCAATTTGTAGGGGTGAAAGCAGAGATCCATATGCAAAATTCGCCTTACCAAACGATCACTAACGCGAAGTGCAGCAGCGTGTTTCCGGGCAGATCGAGTCGGTCTGCGAAGAAAGACCTGTCGAACGCGTTCAACATTTTCAGGAGTTCGAACTGTTCGCGGCGCTCCTCTTGGTCTTCTGTTGATCAGTTCACCACGACTGCGAAGTGATTCAACCCAACGAAGGATGGTGTTTCGAGAGGGAACAGCTCTATTCCGACGAAACTCACGCTGTACGACGATAACTGACTCATTATTTCGGACGAAACAATTATAGGCGAAAACGCGGTGCTTCACCGTCCAAGGCTCCATAACGACAACTGGTAAAATAATGCTAGGATCTCACGAGTCAAACGGCATCCTCCCCACCTCTCTCGTAGACGGAGGCGGAGAGTACTACCCATCCCAAAAACGTCCGTCCTCTCTGCCGCACCCTGTATTCCAAGAAACGGGGAGGAGCATAATTGTTATTGGGCAAAATCGGTCAAGCCCATATACAGGACCAGGAACGTGGGGTGGGAGACGACACAGCGATGCATGCAACCTTGCCGGCCGTTAGTGTTAGCTCGGCGTTCTGGTGTCTGATCACGTGACTATTTTTTAGGTATTAGTTTCTTTCTTCCATGAATGGACAATAGTAGATGGCTAGTGTCGGTACTGCGGCGTCGACAAAAAAGGGTCTTCGCCTCCCCACCACTACTACTATGAAATCGTCGAGCGTTACTGGCGAGGTCTCTTTTTTTTCATTATTTTACTTTTTTGTGTAGATGTGGTTGCCCTGAAGGATACGTCCTCCACTATTACTACAACCAATGTGTGGACGATAATGAATGTCAGAAGAATCCATGCGGCTCTGATGGACATTGTTTCAACACTCCCGGTAGCTACAGATGCGGCTGTCCAGACGGATATCAGTACGATGGAAATTTGAACATATGCATACAGGTAAATAAAATGTTCAACCAACTCTACTGTAAGATCCCTGTGAATATTGGTAACTTGAGTCATGATGCTCAGGAGTCACAACTAAAATTTAACTATCTGGCTTGGCGAATTATAGATCGGGCATAAAATTTTATTTCTGAAGAGTGCCTATGGAGGCATAAGGCATTATGGAATTTTTAGGGTCCTCAATCGAACTACACCCATATTTGGTAACTTAAAAGGTGACATTATATCGATTTTGAATGACATTATGTAGATTTTCCCTAAAAATATCACCTTCGAACTAGCTGTCATTCACTTCATGTTCACTTGTTGTACCAGTGCGTGTCGCCTAAATTTAGACAGAAATGATCATAAATGTCAAAGTTTAAACCAGTTTTGCTATTTTTCAAACCTTATAAATTATAACAATGTTAGAAATCATAGCGGCCGACTTTTAGACTTAGTTTTGTGGCCAGGAATGACTTACCACTAGTTAGGGAGGATATGCATCATCCTGCTATAAATCGCATTCTGTGTTAGTGACACTATGCAAGGATTTGAGTTTGTTGATAATCAAAAATTCAATTTTCGGCGGGAAAATTATATTGATATGTACAGCACATTTTTAATTGCGGATTGGTCTCCAATTCATGAAATGAATGATGTAAACGAAGCATGTGATTATTTTTATTAAATCATAAGAGAAATTTTCGAGAACAACGTTCCTAAATATAAAATGAATCCTCGTTCATATCCTCCTTGGTTTACAAACGAAATTATTTCAAATATAAGAGAAAAGGATAGATTCAGGAATAAGTACAAAGCAACCCATTCAAGCCACTGTTATTTAAAATTCAAAGAACTAAATATAAAATGAATCCTCGTTCATATCCTCCTTGGTTTACAAACGAAATTATTTCAAATATAAGAGAAAAGGATAGGTTCAGGAATAAGTACAAAGCAACCCATTCAAGCCACTGTTATTTAAAATTCAAAGAACTTCGAGCTATGATTAAAAATCAAATTATAGTCTCCCATTTAGCTTACATTAAAAATGCCGAGGATAGGATCAATAAGATCCCACTAATTTTTGGTCATTTGTAAATGCAAAAAAGAAAAACTCTAGAATTCCAGGGAACATGACGTTTAATGAAAACACTTGTACCTCGCCACAGGACATAGTCGATGCTTTTGCAAATTTTTTTTCAACTGTGTTTATAAATTCTGATTCTTCTAATTCTGAGTTCATGACTTCAAATCTAACTAGTATGAATATATATCTGAACAAGTGAAGCGGATATAATTCATGCTTCCAGAAAGTTAAAGAATAAAATGACTTCAGGCTATGATGGTGTGCCTAGTTTTTTAATAAAGGATTGTATTCATGTATTGGCAAAACCGCTTTGCATGATCTACAATATGATATTATTAACATGCTCTTACCCTCGTATCCGGAAAATGACCAAGGTATGTCCTGTCTTTAAAAGTGGCGATAGAAGTAATATTTGTAACTATAGGCAGATTGCGATACTTTGCAATTTTGGTAAGATTTTTGAAGTTATTATTTATAATACCATTTTCAACTCTGTCAAATGTACTTTATCTCCCAACCAGCATGGTTTTGTTGCTGGCAGATCAACAGTCACAAACCTGTTATGCCTGACTCAAACTATCTCTGATGTATTAGATGACCAGGGTCAGTTGTACCGACATTCAAAAGGACTTTGATCAGATAGATCATTACTTGCTTCTTTCTAAGCTTGAAATGATTGCGTTGTCTAAATCTTTATTGAAGTTGATCAGATCATATTTATTTGATAGAAATCTGTACATTGAGTTTGGTGGTTTTAAATCTAATTCTTATACAGCAACATCTGGAGTGCCCCAAGGATCCAATTTGGGTCCTTTGTTTTTTGTGTTGTTTATCAATGATCTGTCGCTGGAATTGCCTGGTATGCATTTACTTTATGCTAATGACTTAAAAATTTACACTGCTATTCAGAGCAATCACGACTGTATCTCTCTTCAAAACAGCTTGAACTTGGTGCATTCTTGGTGCTCCAGAAACTCTCTTACGATTAATGTATCAAAGTGGAAAGTTCTGTCTTTTAGTAGGAAGCAAAATGTAATACATTATGATCATAGTATCAATGATCACTTACTCGAAAGAACAGAAACGTTCAAAGATTTGGGTGTTGTATTCGATGCCAAGCTGACATTCAAGGATCACATCACTCAAATGGTGAATTTAGCGTTTAAGATGCTAGGCTTTTTTGTAAGGAATTGGTCAGGGTTTTCAAACATATCAACTCTAAAGCTTTTATATTTTACATTTATTAGAAGTAAGCTGGAATATGTTTCATTAATTTGGTCTCCAATCTACAACAATTCAAGGGTTAGTATTGAATATGTGCAGCGTAAGGCTTTAAAGTATTTGTATTGCAAATGTTATGGCAATTATCCTGAAAGAGGTTTCGACCATTCTATTTTATTAAACATTTTTGATATAGAGTCATTGCATCTTAGACTCGACATATCAGCGCTACATATTTTGTACAAAATCATACACAATCAAGTTGATTGTTCATTCATATTAAGTAAGCTTAATTTTCGTGTGCCTAGGTTGGGAAATCGTGTTCAAATTACTTTCTATCCGGTTATTGGTAATACTAATTTATTGTCTAGATCTCCGGTAAATATGATTTGTACATGTTTCAATTCTGTTTGCAGTTCCTGTGACTTATTTTTTGATAGTGAGAACTTTTTTGTTAAGTGCTACAGAGACTCGTACCTTTGTCAGTGAGAGTTTGTTTTTTCTTTTTTTTTAATTTATTTTTTGTGTTTGGCGTTACCGCTGTTGCTAATTATGTAACTTTTTCTTGTATTTCTTCTGTAATTGGGTGTTACCTGTAGGAAATAAATAAATAAATAAATAAATAAATAAATAACTAAATAAATAAATAAATAAATAAACGTCATGACAGATGAGCTATATCGTTGGGCTCTGATGTGATATAACATCTGCTTCAGAGATGGCACTAGCGGAAGCCATTTATAGCTTCTAAGGCTTAAGCTGTAAATTAATCCAACATAAATCCTCTCCAAAAAATGAAGCTAACAACTAGCTAGTATATAGGTTAACATTACATAGATTTTCAGTGACATTATATCGATTTTTTACATAATACCCCTGTGACGCGCTCAAAATTTCAAGCGATTGAAAATTTTTCCATTGTGTCTGGAAAGCATACCTTATGATATTTTACTATCGCGGAGTGAAGTTTTCCAAGGAACTCGAGAATAGTTTCCGAATTGCGCTCTAATCATTTGTACGGCACATGTTTGTGGAAAGTCACTGTTCGACTAACAAATCGAATGCCTACCGGAGCAGAAAGTCCGTAAGATTATTTTTTTTGTGAATGGGGAAGGACCCTATATTAGTTGAATTTTGTACTCAGGCCCCGAATTGGTCAAATGACTTTTAAGCCAATTGACCACTTCATGATACGAATATACGGTTCTTATTTAGGCCTGAGTCGACCAAAGGTGAATCCAACATTTGTGTTCACGTCAGGAGGAGATTCGACTCAGTGGAAGGGGGATTCCGATTTAATGAACCATTCTGGGATTTTGGAGTCAGAAGGCTTTATTATTTTGGTACAATTTTCTAAAATATGGAACCGTTTCCGAATACTGATGGTTCCCTCGTTTCGCAAATTTGGTGATTCCAATAACAGATCCGTCAACAGCGATCTGAAAAATCACCGATATTTTTTTCTTAAAAATGGTTGATATCGAAATCGAACATGGAACAACCGCAGGAAGCATTTCATTAATGTAAATTGAATAGCCAACACAATCGAGGCAGGTTCCAATTTCCAATACTATTTTTAAGTCATTATTATAAAAAGGTGTAAAAAATATAAATATATTGCGTTTATGGCTAGTCCGTCTCTGGTGAACTAAATGAGTTAATAGATTTCGTTGGATTATACCGTCGCTATGTTCTAACACAGCGTAACTCCAAAGTGACAAATTTTTAAAAGAACAAAAAACGGTGATTCTTTGGATTCCATATCGAATAAAACGTATTTCTTGATAGAGCCATTTTTTGAGTTACGCGATGTTAAAACTTAAGCGACGGTATGTCAATCGAGAGCACCAAATACAATAGTTTCAGAATAGTACCAAGAGTCACCCATTTAATTCTTGTCCCATGTGTGGGAAACACCCTGTTCATAACTGAGCTAAGACTGAGCTGCCGAGTTAAAAATAAAAAGTGTCAAAAATATGAAGTATCTGTTTATGAGCTGATGAAGAGAGCGAGATTCGAACACTCTTACGGTTACTACTACTTACCATTTATTTTCAATCAAATGAAACCGCTTTTCTCCGATTTTGTCCAACAAAAACTATTTTTATCAAATTTGCTCGTAGGCTTAAAGGCGTGCGTAAAAAGATTTTTTCTTATATTCCTGTCCGAATGTTCGAATTTTCAATTACTACCTTAATCACAGAATACATAAGGCTCAATTTCCAATAATGTACTAACGCACAAGCAGTTCTGCCAAGGCAAAAATGTAGAATCACTGTTTTATTATTATATTTATATTTGCGTCAAGCTCAACGTATAGGCAACCAGGCTTACCAATCCTCTTATTTTCACGCCATCATCGAAGCGCTTAATTGATCAGGGTTGCCAGGTGTGGTGATTTGTAACCAAATCTGGTGATTTTTACCCGTTTGTATCCATTACATATTTGTAAAAAAATTTCTTCATTAAATTTATCAACGAAATTCGAAAGTCATAGATATTAGTGGTCAAACTAGATTCGCCCAAATAGGGTCATGATCCCTATGCCCCCCCCCCCCCCCCCCCCCGCGCTTGGATTGGACTTTGGACAGTACTTGGACAGTGCATGATTCAGTTATGATTTGCTACTAAAAATAGCTACATTTCGTCTTCGATTCCAAAAGCATTTAGGTCAACGATACTGAATGTATTGCCATCAACAGGTAGCAGCAGGCTGTACTGGGGCTCCCTGCGCATTCGGTTGTACTTCAGCAGGAGCCAGTTACTCGTGCGGTTGCCCTCAAGGCTACCAACGTATCGGCCAAGGACACTGCTTATCCACAGTCACTCCCGCGTATGCCAGCTACAATCAGGATATAGGAGATGTGCCAGTGTATCCGATCGATGACAGATACGGATCATCGTCTACCAAGCAGGATAAGCTGATCAGCACTGAGGGATGTTTCTCGTGTCGGGTAAGCATCACTCCAAACAAACATTTATCGGACGTCATATGAACGAACAAATATAACTGGTCAGAAAATACGACAAAGTACTAAATACGTTTCGTTTCACGTTACCATAAGACGCAACAATGTTTGAGAGCCAATGTTCGGTTGTGACATGCTGGTAGATAAAATTGTGGCCACACAGGAGGTCAAACAAAATCCATGTTGATACTTTAGGAAGCAAATTAGAGGAAAACATTGTTAATCGGTTAAGAAGTCAAAGGAAAGAAAATTATCCACGTCTATGACTGCGTTTCTCACGAAGTATTTTCCTTAGATAAACGGCAGACACAGAAGGGCACCGAGACATCGTAGATTGGGCCATTCTGCAGCTAATGATACGGTCAACCACGTCTTCAAGCGACATGGATCTAAACGGAGAGTCAGAAGACATCACCATGGTGAAGAGATCGATTTGAAAATAAATATGTCACAGACAAGACATAGGACGAGGCTACTGAAATTGCAACCATCTGTTAAGGTATCAATAACGACCATATTAAGTTACAAGTAACTTAACGTACTTGCTTGGAATTTTTTTGAACTAATTTCAAATGCTTTTTTAAAGAGCTGTATAAACGAGCTTTTCTCAAAGTGGGCGATAATACCCCCTTGTCGACACTGGGGGCCTACGGATGGGGCTATAGGGAACCTAGTGCAAATTGCGGGAAGGGGGTGAAAATGAATTCATTTGGGAAAACAATGCAATGGCTAATTTGTGTTTTTGTAAGTATTTAAAACGAAAATCGAAACTTACGTACATACACTCATACGTTGGGGGGCACTAGACAGATAAGTTAGAGAACCTATGCTATAAACATTTTGTTTTGGTGACGTTGTGGAGCAGTTTCTGGAACCCTTAACGTCTTACTTAAATATGTTTCAGACTACAGCACCAGATATATTTCAATGAAATCTTTTAGTGTATATCTAGATATGTTTTGCAGCATTGTACACAAACATTGCATTGAAATATGCCTACTGATGTACCTGAAACATATCGGAATAGGACATTAAGGGTTTCAGAAACTTTTCCACAATGTTACCGAAACCCAACAACCCAAAGTGTATATTATAGGAATCACTTCTCCTTTCTTGAAATAATGGCATCTTTTCAGCATATTTTAAATAGTGTCAGGCCGTGTGAAAATGAACTTCCTATTTCAGAAAGAAATGTTCTACACAATTGTGCGGGGCAATGAGAAAAACAAGTTCGAGCTAATCAAAAAGCACGGAGTTTGGGCGCTTCACTTCAAGCGACGATTAAAGAAAGAAGCAACATTTGAGTTGGTTATTCATGGAGTACCTGAGAACGTCACAGCTACAGAGAACGAATCGTATGAAAAACCTTTGACACTCAGGGTTAAGATTCAAGTCGTTGCCGATGAGGCAACATAAAAGATTGTATAGATAATTTCTAATGTTTCAAGTTTTACAAAAAAAGTGGAAATGTTTTGAGATTTATAACCACTGGAACAAAAGATTCCAGAACTTCGTATCAAATACATATAAAAAATGTGGCAATCCTAAGGAATAACGAGTGGATAATTCATATGGAAATATGCTTATCTATTCAAAACTACAAACAACATGTATATCTGTATTTCATGTTTCTTTAATTCAGATCTGTTGAGGAACTGTATTCGGGCATTTTTTATTTCCAAGATTCAATTAATGATGGTCATATTTCCAAGCGTTCCAAATTGTTTCTATTATAAATAAAGGTAATATTACTAGACGTTATCCTGCAGATGCAAGACATAGTTGCTTTAATGATAACTGCAAACTTGACTATTTTAATCGTTATTTTTGTCACCACGGGAGTGATCCAAAAATATCCCTTTGGTGATTGCCCTAAATTATAGAAAAAAAACGTGGTTAATGGCCACACAAGTGAAAATCACTGCCAAATTTTCTTTTACAATGTGTTCTTTCTATTTGTGTAATGGCATTAACGTCAGAGATTCTCAAATATTTTACTGCCATATTTTACATGTCATGTGTGTTAAAAAATAAGTTGTTCAAATGATAAGTTTACCATCGATGAGAATTTCGGAATATAGTACAGCCGAAACGTATGGATAATTTTAAAATCAAAAGTGTAGTTTTAAAGTATTATAGGATAATGTTTGTAAATTAGACGCAATACAAATTATAAGTTGATAGTTTTAAACATATTTATATGTAGAATTAAGTATTTAATTTTTAGTTACCTAATGTTTCGTTTATTCATTTGTAAAATAATTGCTTTTAATAAAAAACGCCGTAACCGAAAGTGTATTATTGGTTAATCAATGTTGGGCTCTGTAACAACGGGACGTAAACATTTTCTGTGATAGACAGAATTGTCGTATCTGGGCATTAGACAGCCCTCGTGACATCCATCAACGACCACTACATCCAAGTCGAATCACAGTTTGGTCTGGTATTTGGTATGAAGGTATGATGTATCATTTAGAAATAAACATCTACTCGTATATCATAACCTTATATGCTTTATTGCTAACAAAAATACAGATAATATACAGTGTACAGTTTTGGTAAAGTATACAGTTAAAGGAACCTTACTCCACTCATCTCTGTTGGCATACATACATAAGTTCCCCCCTCTTCTACCTTTCCATATCCCAAGTCCTTCATCAACCTTGTAGGGGCATTCCTGAGATGCATAGGTACTGCTGGTTGTGGACCTTTCCATCTCTCTATTGTAGCCTTGGCCTTGGCTAAGGCTGAATCTGCTTCCCTAGATTTTGGAGCTCTGGCTAGATATATTGCACACTGTGCTAGGAGAACATCACATTCTGGCATGCCTAAAACATAAGTCATGTCAAGTTGGATGAATATGTACTATGATTTTTAAAAAAATTTACCCAATAGTTGACATCCCTGCATGGTTGAAACTGCTAATGCCAATGCAGCAGGGTCAGCATTTCCAATATCTTCACTAGCTGCTCTAACTAGCCTTCGAGCAATAAATCTTGGATCTTCTCCACTAACAATCATTCTAGTTGTCCAATAGAGGGCAGCATTATCATCAGACTTCCTTATGGACTTATGCATGGCAGATATGATGTTGTAATGCTCTTCACCACTATGGTCATACAACATGTGGGACTTCTTGATACCTAGGCTCAACAAAAGTGTTTAATAGAATCAGATCCATGTTAAACCGTCAAAAATGATCTTCTAAATGTAACTACACTAACCTTACCTTCTTCAATATCTTTAACAGATATGGATTTGTTTTTGTTATGGCTATCTTGGACAACAAGTTGCAGATTAGTCAGTGCTATTCTGGCATCTCCATCACTAATGTCAGCCAGCCACTTCAAAGCATCCTGCTGTATACTGTTTGGTACAACACTACATCTGTCAACTATGGTAAACTTCAAAGCCTTTGCGGCTCTTTCAAGAATGCTGTACAACTCTACACTGTCCAGCTTGTTCAGTACTATCACTCTGCATCTGCTCAATAGTGCCGAGTTCAAGATGAATGAAGGGTTTTCTGTGGTAGCACCTATCAGAATCAATTCTCCTTTTTCTACACTCAAAAGAAATGTGTCTTGTTGCTTTTTGTTGAAACGATGTATTTCATCCATGAACAGAACTGTTCTTCTACCAAACTTCAGATCATTTTTGGCCATGGTTATCAATTGCTGTACCTCTTTGACACCAGTAGATACAGCACACAGTGTAGTAAACTTGTATTTTGTGGGGTTTTTCTTACATATATCACATATCACAGCAGAAAGGGAAGTTTTCCCACAGCCTGGTGGGCCCCAAAGGATCATGTTAGGGATATCACCTTGCTCTAATAAATTTCTTAAAACAGTATCCTTTCCCAGTATTTTGTTCTGGCCAATGAAGTCATCTAAGCTCTTTGGTTGCACCTTGTGTAGAAAAATAATTGATTTGTAAAATTTATATTTAACATTTCTGTCTTTGCAGAATATTCTCTATGTAAGTACATATTAATAATAATAAATACTGCTTATTTTTTGCAAAAGTAATATATCAAAACTGTAACTAATAAAACAACAGAAATACAGGAATATCATAACAAATGATAATTTTTATAGTGTTTACAATATATAGTCCTTCCATTGAATAGCTAAAAAAACAGATGGAAAAGCTGTATAGTCGAGAGGATCTTTCAAGTCGCATACACCGAGAAGTCAGATAACTATCTGTTGCTGCAAACCCTCAGGTATGCCCCTGTCTTCAACCATCAATAGACAAGGCTTTTCCAACTTATACGACTAGCATACCTGCTTGGCTAGAGGAACCACAAAAGAGTGATCTATAACTTTTTCTTTCTCTGCTGAATTCCCAGCTTTACCGAATTTCTCCAAATTCCTCTTCTCCTCACCTTTGCCTAAGAATCTGCTCTGAGGTAGTAGTTTCGGTGTTTGGCTGCTGGATTCGGGTGTGGGGAATGTTTTTTTGAGTACTGGTGAAGTTTCAACTGAGTTAAGGGGTGAAGTGGATCTCTTCCTTTTTGGAGCTTCTTCACTATTTGAGTTAAGGAACAAACATTTATTTACATGCTGTTCAATTTCCAAATACGAAAAAGGCCTATTACAGAGTGGGCAGTTCGTTTTCTCGCAGTTTTTGTCCATTTTACGTTTTTCCTTTTTGACTTTGTTTTAAATTTTCTGAGGTTAGAAAATGTTTACCGCCATGTTTAGATTAGGCAAGTTCATGTCGAGTGTTGCCAGAGCCAACATTGAAAATTCCGCATTAAGACAGGGGGGGCATTTATTATACAAATTGTGTCAAAAAAGGAAAACAAAAACCAAACAGCGTGATAAAACATAACATAAAACTGTAATAAAAAAACATTTGACTATAAAAACCAATACAATATACCAATAACTGTCAAACAACAGAACATTTCACGCAGTCATATTAAATAAATATCACAGGAAATTAAAAAATAAAAAGGATATGACTAAAGGCCATTTCTGTTTTGCATAAAAGAATTAAAGTTTTTGAGTTACTTAAACTTAGTCACTGTCTGTATCAGATTCTTCTTGTTGCATTTCTGTTCTCTCTATACTATATTATAAATTATTTTTGTATTTTTTAATATGTTTTTCACAAAACTCGAAGTCTAAGCAGTAACATTTTTTTTGTATTGTATCCAGTTTGATAATTATCGCGAACAAAAGTTAAAGATAAAATACGATTCCTTTTCTTTGCATTGATTATCTCCATGTATCAGAATGTCCACTCGACATCTGCTTTACCATGTGGCAAAAGTTAAGATTATTAGACATACTTTGGAAATACACTTCACAGGCTGTGTTCTACCACCTACTACTATCTATACGCGTCTCCGATCTCCGTTGAATAAGAAGTACCGACCGGTGGTTACCACTGTCGATTGAAAAGATATCTGTATTTAGATTTGACTTGCACTCAATTTTTTTTCTGGTAAAAATATCCATCATGTGTACCTAAATTGCAAAATTCCTCTACTTTTAACAAAAAATCCAATTCCGCCGCTACGCCGCTACCACTTGAAAATTCCGCTACTGGTAGCGGAATTCCGCTAGTTCTGGCAACACTGCTCATGTCAAGCTAAATCCAATTCCAACCAGCCAACCACTACTTCAAAGATAGCGCTCGATCCTGACATCCAGTGCACGAGTATACCTTTTGTGCTGACATCTATGGGGACCGTAGATATTTAGCTCATTTTTTTCCAAATGAAAGGGTCCTTGCAGAAGGAGCGCAAACCTAATCTAAGTACATATTAGATACTGTGAATAGAAACAGCCAAACAGCTTCTAATAAAGAAAGCTGGACTCTCTTACCCTAGACTGTCTATTCTGCCACCTCTGGAGGGTAAATGTAACTATGGTGAAGCTTTGCGTTATTGCTTTACAGGTATAAAACGTTACTTGTCTTTAATTTAATATGATAGCCACATTTAACTAATTATATGTAGCTGGTCATCTTTACATAATTTATTTAAGTACTAAGTGTCGTTATGCTATTGTTCTAGAGACGGCGCCTATAATAAACTCGTCTTATCTGAGATTAGAAGGTGTACAGGTCGCCATCTATCGACGCCTAGTCTGACTGTTTACACCGCCACCTATACGCAGTTTGTTTGAGCTATAGATATAAAAGGATAAAAAAGACACCTACAAAACGGATTATAATGCAGTGTCACCTACAGGCGAAAAATCAAAGCTGACCGGTCAATATCGACACCTGTTGATCGCGGTCGCGTTATTTAGTTGTTTTCATTTTCAGTTATTTTAGCAGCGTTCCAGAAGAGAGACGCGACTTTAGAAGACATATTTCTTGTTCTTTACGTAATTATATTCGCTAAAATTCGGTGTTCGGTTTGTGTTTACGTTTAGAAGTTTAAAGTGTCGTGTGAACTATGGTATTTTATTGATGGATTATCGATCTACCTGGATTTCTCTCAAAAGGTAAGCTGTTGTCTCGTCTTCTTAAGATGATAATGATGGTTTCTGAAGAAGGTAGTGTAATTTATCTACCTGGAATTTAATCGCAGATATCATAGATCAGAGGTTGAAAACGTAAAATGAAACTTTTGAAAGCATTCTTGTGAAACTTTATAAATCTTAGTAGAATAGGTATTTGACTTGTTTTCTAATTATCCTTACATGTCTTAATTGAGAGGGAAATGAAGCAGATTCAAGGATTATGCTGTTATCTTCATGACGAAATCGTAATTCCTGTATTTTAGCATAAACTATCATGGAATGTCATTCCTTTACAATAGCAAATAGACCTTACAAGTGCTGGTTAGTGGTTACCTCTTTATAGAAACGGTCGTTATAGAGGCGCCGACAAACTGGGCTCTCGCATAATCGGAGGGTTCGTCATGCATAATAACGCCGGCTTTGGCGAATTATTTTCAAGGACATCCCCGAGAGGTCCTCTCTAGGTTAATATGGTAGATTCGTTAAAAATCCGTAGAAAAGTTGTCCCACTCGTGTCGGCATGACGTCATGGACATGTGAGTGGGTCATCGACATTGTTAACCTAGATCTTGGTCTGCAGCCGGAAAATGTATAGTTTTTCTTTTTCTCTTACAGTCAGGTAGTCGTCTCGTTCACCCAACGGCAGTGGTTTTTACCGTATCGATTCCATATCAATGATACTGATAATAGATACATATTGGATTTAGTAATCTGGTCGTCTGCAAACATGTTAAAAAATACTCTCGGAAAACCCATTGGCTGTTGGCTACGGGCTTATCCACAGTTTATCCAAAGAACAGGCTGAAGAACAAGTCGAGAATGGAATTGAGAAACGTATGCTTTTCTTTTCAGCAAAGTGAATTTCTGATACCATGGCTGTGTGTGACAGTCTCTGATGATCAGAAGATGCTTGTTGGAATGATCGCATGTGCCATCATAGTTTTTCCATGATACCGACTCGTTCTGGGTGGGTCTACGAGACGAACCTTCCAGACTTTTGCTTCTCAATCTGTCTGGGTACAGCTTTGTAGCCGAGTAGTGATAAACATCCAGATCTGGCTGCTGTGACTGTTCCTACGTTCTTAGCCTATTCAGAATGTGCAACAACCTGACACAAGCGACGTCAGTGCTACTCAATTCTACTACTTTTCAGCAATTCGAAATTTGGATGAAGCATTCGTAGTGCTAATCACCGCAAAAAGAAATTGAGCACCAAACTTGACTCGGCCCCAAACAGATATTTGTAACATAACATCAAAATAGAGCGCCGAAACGGAACAGTAGAAAACTATGAAAATCAAGGAAGCCATAAAGGCGTCCTACAATTGTAGGAACGACTGACGATACGACCCTAAGCTCCTTACAGCAGCCGCGGAGCCCTGGTTTCTGCCTACATAGTTGCTTCTGTATAAAAAACTAATAACAATAAGCGATGTCACGTGGTGACTACAAAATTAGCAATTTAAGCTACAATGCAGTATATCCTGACGCACTTTTTATAAATCTCATTAGCGAGAGCTTACCGAAAGCTTGTTTGGAATCGGAAACCAGGGAATTTTATTATTTGAATGGTAATACCAAGTAGTACGTTCTAATTATCAACCAGTTCATTAAAAAGGCGACATAGTGGCCTCAATTCGCAATCAAACGATACGTTATCACGTGAAGTATTATAAAAGTATGGAATATCAATCAGTTGAGTGGAAATTCATTTGTACGCTTCAGTACGGCTAAGGTATCGCACGTTTCGGAATTTTAGCGGTCATGAAGCGCCGTTATCTGTTTCCCAGAGCTTACTGTGGAATAGAGAAACACAGAAAGGATTCTTAAACACAGCCAATTGGAACAGAAATTGCAAAATACTACGCAGGTTATAAATGCTAACAGTATTTCCAGCAATTTTTATAATACAAGTTACGAATTACAGAAGAAAGTCACTCGAGTTACTGGGTAATCATTGATTAACTCCACCCTATGCTGTATTTGGAAGTTCACACAATTTCCTTCTCTAAGAAAAGGGCGCCGAAGCTAAAAGCGACGAAAGAGGCGCTTTTTGTCATATGGCAGGAGAGATGGGATGCAACGGACCATGGTGTATGGACCAGTAGGCGGGTCCAGATATTAAAACAGGGATTGGGCAGGGAGCGGTACGGGTACATTACTATGCTGCTCAGTTCCTCACAGAACATGGTTGTATTGACAGCTTAAAGAGAGAGTACGCGAATTGCGTATATTGCAATGAAGAGCAGACACAGCTGGAACTGACTATCGGCGAGAGGCTCACTGCTGACAATTTTTCCACGCATATGCGCTAGGGAAAATGGGTTAATATTAAATCAATAGTGAGGTGAATGATGCTGAGTAAGGTATGGGAGATCATAAATAGACCAAGGAACCAGCAGCAGGTTTCTGTTTTGCTTGGTTGTACATGTACATAGGTATAAAAGTATGTATGTGTACGGTAGAGAATAGATCACTAATACCTTTGGTATGGAAACCTACCGCAACGCGGTTTTTGTGGAGAATCTCACACTTAGGAAGAGTCGGCAGAGCAATACTTCCTGAGAGTGGCTATTAGGCTATATAAAAGCTTCCCCCTGTCAAAAACATACAATTTCCATCGTCACAGCTATGTTTCAGTAATCCCTTTAAAATTATTGAAGGCAGGCTTCATTTGCCTTTTAAAGAACACATTGTTTATTCATCAACTTTTTAAAGAAAGAACGTCCCACAACTTTTTTTGTAATTATTCCTAGGATTTCGTATTTTCCGAACTTTTCGAGGCACGGCTTCCACTTTTATTGGGTATCTTCTAGTGAAATATGTTAATCAATGGTATAACTCTCAAAAGCAATCGCTAGAAGTACTACTTATCTGTCATAATCTTGTGAGAATGTTAACGATCTTAATAAATGCTTTCAAATCCCCAGTTGTTTACTTGTTATATCAAGGAATGTACGTGTCTTCGACCTCTGTGTTAAAAATTTTTTAAACAAACACGGAAAATCACAACAGTAATTGACAATATCGTGCTAATTGCTAGTTGAAGCTAAGTGGAACGCAAGTGAATATTATACATTATCGCGATTTGTTATATAGTTTATAGTTCGATCATCTTACTGCGTGAGTTACTGTGATACTGGATGATGACCTTTGGAATAAAAATATGCTTTAATAACCTCATATTTATTTAGTCAACGGGTAAAAACGCTTGTTGCAGATACAAAACAGCCTTGATTAATGGATTATATTGTATTGTTCTCAACACTTCGTTTAAACACATTGAAGTTCGAAATATGTACTTCTAAACTAGATATATATAGAGAGAGAGAGAGAAAATAATCATGGGAGAAATGTATATAACAAAAAATAGGAAAATAA